GTGTTTAACCGTGTTTATATATCAGTTTAGTATAATGTCTCACGAAAGTTTGAATAAGTAAAATAATGAGAAAAACATTATGAAAGTGGAGGAGGCCATTTCTACTATTATATTATAGTCTACTATTGCTATCGCAAAGCGTGATCGGGCGTCCGCGCAAGCCGAGAAAACATTACGGTATTCAAGGAAATGGCGGGCATGTTTTTATAATAAAACGTTTAAATTTAGGATTACCATAATCAAATCTATTTAATGCAATAAACGTACTCACAATAAGCTTTATCGTGTTATCGAAATGGTTAAAATAGAAATAAGTTAGGTTACTTTATCCGCGCAAAAGTTGAATGTCACTGGTTATTTTAACTTATTTTCTTAGCAATATATTTGATACTAATTAATTAATGTTACAGTCTTTTATTTGTCCTTACAAAATAATAAAACTACTAGAATATTTTTCCGGAGTTATGCAAATTGTAGGGTAGTTCATGTAAACACTTTTATTGAGCTACCTCCAAAAGGGTCATAAGAAATTCAATTTGTTATTTGAATATTTCGAATTTTATTAAATCAAGTTCAGTATATAAGTCTCAATTATGACTTAGGTATAAAATTGTGGAGTACTTGGCCATAAGTTTTCACAGCTAAAACACATGACTTTAAACATATTGCCATCGCAATTTCTTTGAATAGACGGAGAGGGACAACGTTTATGTTTTGTGAGTGTGTTGACAATAAAAATAACTTATTCTATTTTCTTAGTAAAATTCAGCAAAATATACGAAACGAAATATTTTAAATTACTATTGAAATTGTATTCTAATTCATTTCCGTCAAACCCATCATTTAAAACGTATGACATTTTGAAAAAAAAATGAATATTTGTGCCGATATGTAATAGTTGATGTTATGTCTAGCTGGCTAGCTTTTGGTTAATGTATTAATTTTCTTAGGAGACTTTGACATCTTGTATCTTGTATAACCTTTTTTTAACTACCCACATTTTTATGCAATAAGCCAAAAGAGATAAAGTAATACAAAGGATTATTGTTCTTCCGGTGGAATAATGCTAACCAAAAAATAATTACTTTCTAACAATGAACTTAATTAAAATTTAGTATAACTTTCATAAAAATTATTGCATCAATTAAAACTAAAACTGTACGTCAAGTGACTTTCTTTTCATTGATGTCAAGTTAAAATAGGTCAGGATAAGCACTGAGTTCCCCGTCAGTTGCCACTTCACCTTTAGAATTTTATTAAAAATTAATATATTCACATATACACGCAACAAGCTCATATACCATAAAACAATTAATGTAAAGCATGGTAACTAACCTGACTTCGCGCCACAGAGTAACTCGGGACATGTTCGAACGCGTGGGAAGGGGCGCGGAGCGTGCCGGTCGGGCACGGCACGACACGACACGACACGGTAACGCTCGGCGCGGGAGGGTACGTCACGGCACAGGGCGGACCTCGCTCGGCACACGGGCGGCCGGCGCGGGGCGCGAGGCGAACTGGCCCGGGCGGGCTGCGCGCCGTCGCCGTCGCCGACGCCGTCGCGTCTCATTGCCCTAAATTCGCGCCACACAGCGGCAGCGGCACAATAATTGTCGTAGCGCTGCAACCGGCGGCCGCACAGCCTATCGATTCACCGCCACGTTTCGTGAAAGTAAAAAGTTAACTCGATCGAATACAATGCGGTCAAAGCTGAATCCATGGGTAACGCAACGCGATCCTTTACATTTCTAGGTCACAAAATAGCTTTTAAAGTCATTATTGATTATTTTTTCCGCGACGCTACCAGCTTATAAATAGCCTTGGTTAACGACAGACGGACATTTTTAAATAACTTCACGGTGATTTTTTAACCTTGCTCATATAAAATCATTGCCTGTCATTGCGTTTCTAATAAAACTGATTTTATAATTTATTTCAGAAATTTATTTAAATCGGTTTACGGTCAAATTTCGACATTATATTATTATAATCAATAAGAAAGGAAATCGAAACATTGTGCCAAACTATGACTATATTTGTGAAAAAATGCGTATGTAGAGGGCAATGGCTACGCGAGTCGGGTCAGCTACGGACGTGCGTCAGCAACGCGCTACGGGCTACGCCATGCTACAGAGATATTATTTTTCCCCCGTTTATTTATTTCCATAACTTATAACAATGACTATGTTAATTTTATATACGCCTCTATCAAATGCTAAATTGTAAAATATACTAATAAAATATAGAGGTTACAATAACAGAGAACAAAACTAAACTTAATTAACAAAAAGTAGCTTATAACATGAGCCAAATAATATTCCATTTCTAATGTCAATCCCGCCTTAAAAAACTTTCCCATTTACTACGTTAACAGAATAATAAGGTAAGACGAAAACGCCAGGAAATAGACTCTTTGCTGCGAGTTATCTGTTACATTTAACCGGAAATTGATACATCAGAACTAAGACGACCATTTCAGGTGTAACGTCAAGTTCCACACAAGACATTTCCAACTTAAATGATCCAATTGACTTTCCTACTATTTTGTCATAAACCTAAAAACCTCGGCTCGTGAAATCTTTTACGCACTTGTAACAATCCGTATTTTGTCTTATGATACATTTACACCAAAATATCGCATACTTAAAGAAAAAAATATATATCTCGTTCGTTTCACTATATGTACTTCTCATTGGGTTATATGTAAAATGAATACACGAATTAACTCGCATAAAATAAGTAATCTTACAACAATTCTAACAAAACACTCATGAGTCTAGTATGCTCAGAAAATCTCCTTAGTACGACGTGAAATATGGTAAAAATACGTTCATGTACATTTTACGTGCCGTCTCCTGCTAGCGCCAATGAAAATTAAGTTGACACAAGCATGAAATGCATTTGCCATATTTTTGTGATAGCAAAATACATTAGAGCTAGACTTCGCCATAAACTCAACATAAAAAAGAAACTCAAGCGAAAACACTAATATTATTTAAAAATAGTTTTTAATACAAATCGATAAATTCATAGGCGATTTTTTTACTATTGTTTTTTAGTTTAAAGGGGTTCAAATGATTCTCTTCATAGAATTTAACATAAACGCTCTACTCTGGGGAACCAAAATCTCCGATTAAAATATTCTATATCTCTATTGTGTCAAAGATAAATGACAGTGATGACGATATGTTTTATACAAAGGTTTTGGTCAAGAAATCTACGGTAGCAAATCCTAATCCTAGATATACATAAAACAAATACCGAATTAACAATATCTTTGATAAAAGACGTGTGAACATTTTATTTTATATCTACTGAAAATCTTGTTCTTTGAAGTTTACAGTGTCCAGAGCACTGGGATTGAGGCATTAGGGGCACAAATCCAAGCTTACCTATCTAGCCGAAGTAAATATTTAAAAAATCAACACGTTGTTGCTCTGGCTTTTCTTGAGTATACTTTTAACTAACTACATTAAAGTAGATAATTTAAGTTGGACATCGTTCACTAGATTAATCACATCTTTAAGTTATGTTTTGTTACATGAGTTTGATGCCATAAGCCGTGATCATTTAGGTATTAAATAACGCCCTTGTTACTAAGGCTAAGTAATTCTGTAAGGGCAGTTCACTATTACTGCATAAAGATAAGCAATAGCCTCAAACAAGACAATGCTATTAGTAACGCAAGTCATCAATTGGTCGGAATTTTTCTTACATAATTAACTGTGTACTTAATTTTTTTTAAGTTACTACAATATCACCTTATATAAATGCTACTTAGTGGTGTAATCAGTAACCGTATAATTATAAGAACAGTAGTGACAATGTCGCGGAGTGACAATGGTGCAGAATTGTAATGGAGCGGGCGAGCACTGCGGTTTAATCGAGCAAGAGTGGCGTGCTAACGGCTCGCGTGACGGCCGAGCGTGATGCCCGCTTTGTTTGGGATTGTTAAAAAACTTATTAAAACAACCACAACTTATACACCGGTGCGTTATGTTCGAATGAAAATTGTAGATGACCTAAGCATAGGCTTGTCTTTGGTAAGTCAAAAATATTTTACATCATCCTGTTGTTTTGTGAAGTTAAGCAATACACGATAACCTTAAATTTTTGATCGTTATTTACCATCAGTAAAATATTTATATAGATACTATGCCATAAGATTTAAATAAAGAAAATGGAAACGAAATCATGAAAACGACGACTATTAATTTCAAAAAATGGCGACGTGTAGAAAGTTAGGTGACTCAGGAAACCGAGTGCTAACGAGCTAAGTAGCCTGAACTCGGCAAAAGTTATTTGAAAATATGCCAGACCAAGAAGCATTAAGTTAGCCCTGCGGAATAGTTTATGTTATGCGGCGTAGATATTAGAGACCACAGAGACTTGGTTTAGATTTATGAAGATTTAAATAAATAATGCAAAGGAAAATTTTAAACCAGCCTTGCCTTTATTTATTTATTGTTCTTTAGGCTTATCATCTTTTAATTGCGGTGAGAGGGCTCTGACCTTACATCTTTTTATTATAGAATTCTTTACTTGGTAATCATGACATTCAATAATTAAGAACTTATAAATGTTTTCGAAAAGTCGTTTAGACGTAAATTTGATAAAAGACTAGGTAAAGACGGCATCCTTTTAAAAGTTGACTTCCTCATAAAATTAATATCACGAAGTATATGCCCAAAATATTCCATTAGTATTGTCATAGTCACTCAATGATTTCGCAATATTTTGCTGTGCGTACCATTGTTGTAATATAATTTTAGGGTTTTGTTTTATTTGTCAAAATTTTAGACTATTTAGTTACTGATTCTGTCCATAATATGACGTCACCGACTTATAAAATTATCTAAATATATTAGAGAATAACAGTACGTGCACTTATAATACAAATAAACAAATCCTATAAATCCATAATTTTTGTGTTCTGATTTCGTGTAGAATTTATTGATATTTACAATAATTTTACATAACAGATTATAAAACAGCCTTATAAATTCAATTTAAATTTAGAATATCTGCTGCGAGGTTTGCACACCGTTGCTGAAGTAATTCAGGAACATTTGGAACCAGCTTTGGATAGACGAGAGCACACCTGGCTGTTCAGGACCGTTGACAATTACTTGTACATTACCGTCGTTGAAAATCTCACCATTCGGATTTTGAGGGGTCTGTTCTTCTACTTGTTCTGGTTGTACTACGGGTAAAACTGGCATAGGGTTAACGATTGGTCCGGGAACGACCACCTCAGGTTCTGGTTGAACTTCAGGGAGGACTGGCATAGGTAGAACTATTGGTCCGGGGTTGACTGCCTCTGGTTCAGGTTGTACTTCAGGAAGGACTGGCATGGGTAGAATTATCGGGCCGGGGATGACTACTTCTGGAGAAGGTTCAGGTGATTCTGGCAAAAGTGAACCTTCGGGATCAGGTCTTACGGGTGCGTTTTCTTGTGCTGCAGCAGCATCAGCCAGCCCTTGTGCAGTTAATGGATACAAGAGGTCAGATGATTCAACTACTTGACCGTCGACATGTTTGGTGAGCTGGATATCAAGAATATGACCGATGTCTAATGCTTCTCCTTCAGGTACACCATTGACAATGAACTCTACTGGACCTTGGATTTCTTCATCCAAAGGTAAAGGGCTGGCGTTGGCAAGTGCCAGTAATAATCCAAATATAAATACCTTCATATTTAAACCTACAAAAAAAAATTAAATGTTAAGAAAAATATTAAATGATGCACAAAATAAAGGAGTTGAGTAGTGCTCACCTGTGTTACTGTTGGGAGTTTAAACTTGTATGTCAATAAAAAGAGCAGACGCGAATTTAATAAAAAGGAGCTATCGAATAGATAACAAGATTGTAAACGGTAAGATTTGAATATAATACCCATAATAAAGATTATTAAGTATTGACTAACGATTAATCGAAGATATATTCCTACATGTTTTAGTATACCATAGTATTGGCTTTATCAATTTTAAAAAAGATAAAACAAATTATTTTATTACCTTTTTAATGAAGTCATAAAACATTGTAATTGAATACGTAGTTGTTATGATTTAGCCTTGTCTATGAGAATTGTTTGATAATATTTTCTAAAAAATACTGTAAAACATAAGGAAAATTATTCATGAACAAATGGTGATAATAACAAATATTTTCTCTTAACATCCACAATAATGTAAACACAAAAAATTAAATTGTCCTTTATAACTATAATGTTACGATGTTTAGATGGATGTATGGATGTTTGTTTGAAGGTATCTACAGAACGGATCTTTGTGAAAGTTGGTACAGATGTAGAACATAGTCTGCAGCAACACATAGGCTACTTTTTATATAATATTTTTTTTAATTCTGCGCGGACGTAGTCGCGTGCGACAGATAGTAGGAAATAGAATATTAGTGATAGAAATAATAATGTCTGCTAATATATTTTTAAAAGTATTAAAATTGTATAAAAAGTAAGAAATATTGATATAGAAAAAATATTTCGCGAAAAGATACAAAATTATTTAACTTGATATCATTTTTACTAAAGGAGCGGACTCAAAGTCGGCGCGCGTAGACTTTTTACCTGTCCCTCGGGGTTCAGTAAGTGTTCGATATGAGATAATGTAAGCACGTACCATATGAAATTCGAACAACTTATTTTTACTCGAAAAATACGATATTTAAAAATAACTTGGAAACTCTGACTTCAACGAATTGTATTCAAATAAAATAATCATAGACAACTGACAATAATAACCACCTTCATATCATAGACAACAGATGTAGCCATAATCTAGATTGATTTTTTTTCTATCAAGAGTCCCGCGACAAGCAAAGGAAGGGGATTAAATCTGCAACAAGAAAGAAAGTAGACTTGTATTAATTTCATATGATTGTAACACTATGGATGTGTCGATATGGGTATACTAATGCAAAGATTTCCACCTTTAATTTAGCTTCAAAACGTTTTTACGTAATTATGAACATAATGAAGTTAAAAAATTATGCGTCACATGTCCCATTGTCCTAGCTCTAGGTATAGACACAACGCGACAAACACATTACATGGAACACCTTATATATACATAAGAGTCTATAAATATAATAATTTTTAGTATACAACTGTTTTTATGCAATCGGTATTACGCATATAATAAATCATCATTAAAACTAATCTTATTAAAATTATAAATCAATAGAAAACATTATCAAAACATGTGTTGATTTGACATTTGTAACTTTTATTTCGTTTGCATCAATGTCTTTAAGAATGTAAAATGTAGCAGTCGAATGACTAAATAACTAGGGTGACGCAGAGACCCGAAGTGGGCCTTGGTTTACGACAAAAAAAGTCTCTACTTTTCCCGATCCCGTTTCGTCCCAACCCAGTCCCGGACTTGTAACTCCCTAAGATCTTTATCCGTCTCATCCGTCAAGCTATAGCTTCTACGGCCAACTGATCGGCGACCGCTGAGTCGTCCCATGTATACGCGTTTGACATCCCCAACACCATCCATTCCTACTAAGTGGCCGTGTTAGCGGAGACTGCGCATTTACTGTCGAAAAACTTGTGTAAAATTTTATCTATCCCTCTCATTCTCTATTAAAAGAACAAAGACATAGGTATGTGGCAATAGAATTTACGGTAACGTCTTAAAATCCCATTCAAGACGCATTTACATAGTAGGATGTGAGCTCCATTGTGAAAAACGTCATAATTTAATTAAATTAATTTAAATTATCTACAGACAGGCTAAGACTGTTACACTGTAGTAATTCAGTTAAAAAATATACGATAACGTTACTAGTAATCATTCAATTTACTATACTGGATAAGCGATAAGATTTCAAAGCTAGTGTTGTGTAATTAAAATTAAAGACAAATATCGATATCGATATTCTGTAGTATCGGGGACTCCGGGCCATTGTGTGAGAATTGAATCGGTATTTAGAGTTAAGAGTTGGGTGTCATCGGAAGTTGAATGGAAAAATAACAGATCGGACGTGTTACTCAACGGACGTACATGAAGCGGTGCATTAAGGACTACTTGACCTTGACTTGAACTTGACGATATAGTGATCAGGCACCTGCTGGCGGTGAACAAGACAGAAGGTTTGTAAATGACTTCAAGTTAGTTACAGTATTACGCGCCCCTTCACCCAGTGGAAGAGCTGCACCCGAACTTGTCTTTAACTGCACAATTATCTTTTAAATAAATTTTATTAGTTATAAAATAAGCGATGTTTTAATCCGATAAGTTTTACTCTGTATAAAATTAAGAGATTAATTATTATTTATGATAAAATACATAAACGTAAAATTAACTAACTACAGAAGCGTAAAGACAAAATTGGATTATTACAAGATAAAACTCAAACAACTAAGGTTTTTACGAACGCTACTCGACTCTCGTTAATAAAATTTTATGTCTCGTAAATTCGACTAAAGTTGGATAATAGTACACATAAGAAGGGATCAAGTGGGCATTAGTATCAGGTAATGTTATCCTTTGGAATTTCTAGCGACTCTACTTACGAATATAATTACACTAGCTACTGCACGCGAATCCGTCGGAGCGGGATTAAAAAATATGTAGTAGCCAAATCTTAGACATACTGAATATGTGTATAAAATCTCATAAAAATCGATTAAGCCGTTTCTGAGGAGTATGGTAACTAACATCGTGACACGAGAATTTTATGTATAATTTTTTTAATAAACGAAAGAATAGAAAAAAATGAAACTATAGAATAATGCAATTAAACTAAATGTCATTGTAAGTTATGACCTAAAAAAAATACAACCATGTAAGTCAAAATATCGATGAAAAATTTTCCAATCACTAAACATTTATCGATAAATTTATAGATTATGTGTAACATGTATATCCTACTATCAGAGCATGTACATACTTTTCCATTACTTTTATCAACAAGTCCTTATCGTGATAAGGTATGTTTATATACGAAAACACAATTTTAGTTTATATAAATTAAAATCCATGTATACTTAACCTAAATATATTATTTGTCATATGAACAAAAATTAATATGAACAAGATTTTCAAATTATATTATAATTACATCAATTATTTCTAAATTATCTAAAATATAAAACATAACTTAAATTCGAAAAATGAAGATCAGTTGTATTATTATATACTAACTATGTCCCGCGACTTCACCTACTATTTAACACCTGTATTTCATTTGGAAAAAGTCTGAAATATTTAATTAATTACTTGTACTGAAAAGCGTGTATGTCTCATAATTCAATTATGACTAAAGAATAACAGCTCCCAATACAAACTTTGACCAATCTGTTTATACCTTTATGGAATTAATTTTGCAAGAAGGTTTTAATTTTTTTTTTTTTGACCTGAAATCGCTTAAATAGCAAAGTGACCGTTACCCATAGACATACGCAATTGCATATGCGTCCACTCCTCATCCACCATATGTATATGTTTCGGCAATCGAAACTAAAGCAATACAATAAAATTAATTTTAGTTTTTACACATCATGCATTGACATATTTTAAATCCCGGAACCATACCTAAAATACCCACAGAACTAATTTAGAATTCCACAACTTAAATAAATTTCCGGTTAGTTATCGGATCCTCACAAACTATTTTAATTTAAATGTGATTTCAATAAATTTTATTTTAGACTAGCTGTCGCCCGCAACTCCGTCCGCTTGAATTAAAAATAAACATAATTATTAGCCTATGTGTTTTTCCAGGCTATTCTACATCCCTTTTATACGGGAAAAAGAAAAGGGCTGTTTTTAAGGTTTTTCCGGCAATTATTCGAATTTTCCCCACCTTTTAAACCTTCCCTAGACCTCCACGAACATTTCAACACCAAGATAAGATATATCCATTTAGCCATTCTCGAGTTTTGGCGAGACTAAAGATCAGCAATTGATTTATATACATATACTAGCGGACCCAACAGACGTTGTCCTGTCTACGCGTCTTTAATTTGAATAAATTAATATGAAGTTAATATTTGATGAAAATTGTGAATCTAAACCATTCCTAGATCCCCTTGAACACACACAAAAAAATCATCAAAATCGGTCCAGTCGTTTGAGAGAGGTTCAGTGACATACACACTCTCAGAAGAATTATAAATATAAAGATAGATAAAAGATGAAAGTTGTTTTATATAGTGTTATATATTCTTTGTATCTTTATATATAAAGAGTATTCGAGTGTGGATATTTCAAAGTTAGAAGGAAATAGTGACATCTAAAAATTATATACGAGTTTCAATTGGGAAAATGCGCAAAACATATATTTGTTGTCTTCAAACAAACACATTGTACATTAATACCATGTTCAACATAATCTCAAAGAGTACAGCATTTACGCTTTATCATAGTTCCAGCTGAACTTTGGACAAATCTTCTCATTTCGATGACAAGAAGTAAATGTCAATGTGATTAGTTGTTATGTGTGAATTCATTTTTCAAAGTCACCATAAATCATATTGTATTATTTATATCTTATCTATCATCAAAACAATAAAACAAATATATAGATAATAAAACAAAATTTAATTACTTAAATATTACAATCAGTAAATTATGGACGAATAAAATAACTTATATAAGTAATCTAAGGGTTAGGGGTAACAAGGACAAGGACGGGGGTGAACTTGGGGTCCCAGCCGCCATTGTTTGTCTGTGGAGTGAGATCTCCACTCTTGTTAACTTCCGAGATCTTAACAAATACAGCTTTAAACTTTTTGTCAGTAGTTTCATCAGTAATAGCGCTGTCTAAGTCTTGAACTGTACAACCAGATGGGATGACTTGCTTGCCAGTGGTGTACGGAGTCTCCTTGCCGTACTGCAAGTCCATGAAGTCATTGAGGATTCCTTCTAGAAGTTTCTTGGCGCTGTCATTAGTGGTAGGGTCGTCGATGCCCTTTGACAGCTCGTCGATAGTTACTGTTGGGAGAGACATATTTGTCGATCTGTAAAGAAAAGATTTGATTAGATATACTACAGTTAATTTCAATTATGTCTACTATTGTGCCACTCACATTTGTAAGAAGAAGTACAAGTACAAGAAGAAGTGTACAAATTTTAGCACAGATCAATAGAAATACACAAACGAAAGGAAATACGAAGAATGTAAGGAAGGAACAAAGGCATAGAACAAATTTTATGTAAACCTTGATGGATTGATCATTAAAACATAGAAGACCATTGTTCATTTACTCTTCATATATACGTATTCAACTTTGTTGGTACGGGGCGGGAGGTTAGACTTTAGATTTCTGGTCTAATCAAGTTGGTCAACCGAGCAATATAATGCAACTGTTGTCCCGGGATTCAGAAACTCCTTTTATTTTGTAAAGGAATTTTTAAACAGTACAGTTTTAGACATATTTCATGGATAATTTTTGTTTTTCATTGTCATAAAAGTATGAAAACATCGACTGCAGTACTTGAATAAAGCTTACAAACTGTTTTATAATTCTCAGGCAGCTTAATGTTTAATTTGGTTTTCCTTTTAGAAACATCGCTTCACTAAATAAGGAAACCTCATTAAATAAGTGCGAAATAGCTTTTACATTGTTTTGTTATTTTAAACCATAATGTCTTAAGTATACAGTTTAAAATTGTTTGAAATAGTCTTTTATGGTAACCAAAAATTGTACTATATTTTGAAGGAATTTTAATTTTACGTCACTAATATATGCTTTTTGTTTATATTATTTCTGCTTTTGTTCAACAAAATTGTTCATAATTTCCTTTATGTTTTTAACTTTAAATAACCGTAAATTTATTTTATAGGTTCATCGAAAAAGTATTAAAGAGGCTTGATTTGTTTATATACAGATCAAACACTCGTGTTGCTAAAGTTTATTGTAAAATTTAATCTATACCAAAATCAATTTCTGTTCATTAGTCTCGCTAAAACTCGAGAACGTCTGTTCGTAGAGGTCCAGGGAAGGTTCAAAAGGTGAGAAAAATTCGAATAATTGCCGGGAAATAATTAAGTTTATTTCATTCCACGCGGAAGGAGTCGCGGGCGATAGCTAGATTAAATTATAAATTCAATCCAAAAGGAATGTTATTTTATCAAACGAATGTTGATTGATTAATATTAGAAGCAGTCTCGTGTCGCAAAAATATGCATATCTGATTAGAATTAATCATTTCCTGTTTAGCGACGAAGTTCATGTTTTAGCGACCTTTGGAATACAAAAAAAAAACTACCCATATTGACCGCGTTAAAATTCATGTTTGAAGAAAACTTTCTAATTTGTCTAAATGTTTGAGGTTAATGGTTAAAAGCTACCGCAATTAATAATAGAAATAAGCAAATTATAAACTACACGAAACTTGTTGGGAAAGGTTCGGAAGAGGAAAAAGACTAAGATTATAAATTCTCTGCCAAAATAACAATATGAATTTGTAGATATTTCGGCAGTGGAAATCCACTCTAACTCTCACAAAAAAAAAACAATTTTCATTCAATCCAATACAAACTAAAGAAAATAGTTATTCCAATTTAACATAACAACTATTCTTCTACGGAGCTTTTTACAGCGAGTTAAATGATCTACTCAAATCTAAGACAACTTGCTTTGCAACAGAGGAAACAATTTTAAAACTTAAGAAAATTTTAGAAAATAAAGACAATCTAACACTAGTGAAAAACTTACTTTACGAGTTAGGAACAGATGGCACAATGTGTCGTGAAGCGTAGCTGCGAACTGGCGACAGCTTGTGTGTTCCCGGCTTTATAAATCACTGCCGAGTACTGAAAGATAAGGGAGGGCTCGGCATGTCATCGTATCTATGACTGTACCAAACTTTTATCTATCTGATATCGAATCTCCCACAAGTTGCGGTTAATTTTTCGCAGGAATTTCCCATACGTATAACTCTATATCTATTTTAGGATATTATGACGATATATTTATCGAGAAATTTGATACTTTTTATAATTACAGGTAATTTAATTCGCGAATAATCTCATTAATATTTACTCATTAGTTTTATGCGTTTTATCAATAAAATACAAAAAAATCTTCAGTTTAAACTAAGAATTGGAGATCAATATATACGTATACGATTATAAAACAATCCTAAGTATGTCAGTTCCCATTAAGATAACCATAATATTCGTCTACTCAGCCTTGTACTGTCATGAATTCTATCGAGCAAAAAACTACCGTTTCCGTTGTCCGTTATAAGTTTCATGTTTTATATATTTCTATGCGTATGATTTATATTTTGTACTACAAAAACATAACGAACTCACACAAAAGAAATTTAAGTGTCATGTTATTTTGGTCGCATAGTAAGTTATTTAATTTTCACTCATAATATTCAACTATTAATATTAATCGTTCTTTTAGTTGATTTCAGTAACGAGGTAATTAAAAAAAACTATTATGGCCTTTGAAAAGAGAATATTATGTTGTGTATGTGTGTGTGTGTTATGTTGTGTATTAATGTTATGACTATTATTTAATTGTGTGAATATATTAAATTTAAAAATTAAATTAACATTTTTGACAAAATTTATATGCAATAATATACATATTAATTATAAATGTAACTCATGATTCCGCGTAAAATATTTTTAACACATTTGAAGTATGAAAAGAACTGCCCTAAATTCAGGCCACCATAAGTGCTATTACATTATCTTTTGCCATTTTTTGCGAAATGTGTACTTTAGATATGGTTTTTAGGCTAACCGATGAAGACTTCTTGTTATCAAAGTTGTTATTTGAAGTGTATTTCTCCCGGTTATATTCCATGATATTTGCAAATAGAAACGGAGAAATAGCTATCGAAAACTTTTCATTTTTTAATTTTAATACGACGGGATGTCGCTCTTAACCTATACTTAACATTAGTGGACGCTAGCAATAGCAATTGTTATGGGCTGGCTCGACCGGTGAAATGCCAAGAACACATAAGACAGGCGTCAAGTGGAAGCAATTCTGATGGCCTAACTTTGGTCCCATTTACTTTCCCATAATTTTCTTATAAGGAAAGGATACACAGGGATTTAACGGCCGCTTACTTTTCGACTGCAGTGTAGTCATATCGTCATCTCTTACATTTTCTTGGAAATAACAGAGACATAGGATGTGTCATATAAGTGTCAACGAAATCCGCAGATACTACAAGTTCTACTAATTCAAATGATATTTAATACACTCATACATGACTATGTATTCCTGGTACAATCAATGAATATTAAGTGTTTAGTGTAAATTATTAATATTGATTACTAGGAATAAATGTCATGTCCAGGTACATAACGGAAAATTTTCGATACTTATAAGAAATGTTGAATATTACAAAACAGATAAACAATCCACGTGTACATAGTGAGTCATAGGAAAATAAAATAATGTTATTAATTTTTAAAAATAGTCGTTTGTCTTGACCACTGTCAAACTTATCAGGTTGATTACGATTGCTTCTATCCGACATTTCGTTGTGTTCAAATTCTTCCGCCATACACAAAGAATTGCGATCATGTCCAACATGTGTTGATAACTAACTTTGAATAACCCAAACCTGCATATGTCATGGTTTTAGGTTTGTGAAGGAAATAATGTATTTCCTATTATTAATAATTACATTGAACCTATATTTTATCAGCCATGTTCAAACAAAATATTCATTAATGACTAACGCCTCGCGTGATGGCGTATCATCTGTTCGTTGACCAATAAATACAATTAAAAAAATCTTTAATCTACTTCGGCTCCTTCTCGGTGGCTGGCAAATGTTTGGTTTGAACCTGAATGGAATGATTAACGTCTGTAGATACAGATGTACCCATTGTATTTTGTGTTTTTTTATACAAGAAACGACATCTACATTCTTGGTCCGTACTCTTTTTTGCACATATTCCATATTCTTACTCATGCTTCTAAACAAAAGATATGAAAATATCTGAATATCTATATACATATAAAAGAAAGTCGTGTTAGTTACACTATTTATAACTCAAGAACGGCTTTACCGATATGCCTGAAAATTGGTGAGGAGGTAAATTAGAGCCAGGAGACGGACGTAGGAAACTATTTATTCTTTTTTTTTTCAAATTTATGCCTTGAAGAGTTGCTTTCTATTTAACTTACTAATATTATAAATGCGAATGCTTAGATGGATGTGATGTGGTTGGACGGATGGGTGGGCTACACTAATTAAGTTTTTTTATATCCACGCGGACGGAGTCGCGGGCGACAGCTAGTATGATATGAAAATAAATGAACTTTGATCATTTCGAATATAAATGACCTTCTTATTGTGACATTACCGAGATGATTCCATGACGGATAAGATAGTAAAGATTGACAGGTCGATAATAAGGGGGGGGAAACGTAAGTTGTTTTTGCACGTGATTCAATCTTTACTATGCATAAACATGATGTAAGTTATTTTGTTATTACGTGTAATGATTTCGTTGCTAAATCGTTACAAAAATAATATTGGTTCTATTAACAAAATATTGTTTTATTAAATTTATATAATTAAAGCTGAAGTTATTCAACAAATAACAATCTTTCATAGGATCGTCTTAGAAACGAGTAAACTGTAGTGTAAATTATATTTTCTACCTCGAAAGAGTATTAGATATGGTTTCAGAACTCCACAACAGATTTTTATATTTTACCTAATGCATCATCAACTAACTATACGTACCCACTGAGGATCTAAAATATATAAATCGAAAATCAAAAAAACACATTGGTACATGGCGGGATTCGAACCCAGGACCTGCAGATTGTAAGTCAAGTGCTTAACCCACTGAGCCACCGACGCTCTTTATATATATTTTACCTGATAAAAGGGTTAAATAAAAACAATAAAGTAACATCATAAACTAATTTATTATCAGGTTGTTATATTTACACATTATTAAAAATCAACATATTTATTGGTGAAAATTCTTCGTCTTATTTTTTATATAATACTATATTGTATTTGAGGTTTCATTCTTTTGGGGGATGGCTTTGTATGGGTGAAGGCTATATGTAATTTACATGGGGGGTTGGATCGCGATCACGTCGACGGGGTTGACGCTGATGTTGTCAGCCTCCTCCACAACCATAACGGGGGTGGGAGCGATTTCAGGGGCTACAGGGCTCACCGCAACCTGAAATTGATATCAAAGAAATGATAAAAAGGACCCTTACTTAAAAATTATAATAAATATTTTGTACATACTAACTAAAGTACAACAAATCCGTATTTTGACTGTTTTAGGGTTATCGTTGGTGCTATCCGTTGAGATTTCTTTTTTCTCTAAGACATTTTAATATAAACTTGGGTTTATCTTAGTTGCCATAGTAACAGCAAGAAGATTATCATCTTACCTGGTCTTGTTGGTTGATGTTGATGATGATCTGAACCAGAGGGCTAGAGGTGGGAGTTGCAGCGGGGGCTTCGGGGGCAGGCACCTCAGGGGCAGGCACCTCAGGGACGGGCATCTCAGGGAGAACTGGGGCAGGCAATACGGGAGTGGGGAGAACTGGGGTAGCGATCACTGGGGCAGTAATGATGTCTGCACCGGCCTGAACGGGCGCCAGCTCCACGGGAATGACGACTGGCATGGTCTCCTGTAAAATAAATTTATCATTTTTAACGTTGCACTCAGACTCGTTAATTGGATACATAAACATTATTTTACTTTCGATTTCTAAGCTTTGTAAACATTTAATGACTTAGTAAGGCAGATAGAAGACAGAAATATAATCATTTCCTACATATTTTTAATAATCGGTAATGTTACGTAATAACTTACGATCTGTTGTCCGTTAAAGAGAGCATCCATCATGGCGTTGAGGGCGTCTTCTAGGTAGGGAACGATGGCGGGATCGGTAGCCGGGCTCTGGAGAGCGTTGGATAACTCCTCCAAGGTCCATTGGGAAGCTGTTGGCATGATAACAGCAACAGGAGCCTGGAAATATTAGTACATTTTCACTATGTCTCATTTTAATTCTAAGTGAAAGATTTTCATATAAACTTTTCGCGTCCATTCTTCTTTTTAAAAAATAGCGCATTTTGAAACGTATTTATACTGTTAAGACTAAAAGTAATTTATCTCCTTATCTGTAAATATTACGTCTTTCTTAACTCATGTTCTATAATACTCCACTAACGATCTGCAAAGTATCAAATTTAAGGCTCGATCCATAGGTAGAAATGTGTGTAATGTGACATCAGACTTGTTCCTCCATAAACCTTTTTTTTTTTAAATGGTCATGATTGAAGAACACAATATGCCAATGAACTGCCCTAAGTCTAGTATAAAAATATGCTTTGTATAGCTTACAACAGGCTTGCCGGCGTGCAGGTCTTCCATCATCTGGTTGAGTGCATGTTCCAGGTATGGGATGTACTCGGGGTTGGTGTGCGGGTTCTGCAGGGCTTCGGACAACTCTTGCAGCGACCAACTATACGGAGACCCAGCGGCCAGAGCCAACACGGCGGCGAATACGGCGAAGAATTTCATCTTTTTTGTTTTTTCTAAAAACCAAACGGCCAGTACTTTATATTACAATAGAACTTTTTAGACAATATAAGTTGATTATTATTTTTTTATTGATTTTTTCTTAATACAGAGATATTAGACTTGGTGAAACATGTCTTTGTGTACTTACCTTGTTCTGTAACAATGTGATTGTATAAAATTAAAACGAAATATATATACTTACAAGTTTTGATAAAGATTATAGACCATATCACCGAAAAGTTATTGCTTTAGGATTAAATTTCCATATCTAAGGAAGGTCCTAAAACTTTATTGTGCACCCATAAATCACGATTAGGCGTCACAGTAGTGCTAATAACGTGCAAACCTTCAATTGTCTTTTGATAAATTTAGTTAAAGGTACAACATTTATTGAAAGTAATCATAATGTATTTATGTCATATTTTCGTAAATCAAGAGTATGTTAGTAGTATAAATGCGAATGTTTGGATAGATGGATAGGTGTTAAAATGTATCTCCAGAAAATCTGCTTAGTCCTTTTGAATGGATCTTATTGACAGGCACAGATATAGAACATAGTACCGAGTAAAGGTGAGTATAGATTAGAGAATTTACTTGTAACAGAACAACGAGTCACTCTATATGTTCTAGTGTATCACGTGCTTTGGAAACTACATTTTAACCTGTATTATACCGTTAGTAAGAACGTATATTACATAGAAATGCTCGAGAAAATGCTCTAGTGTATATACACCTTAAGATTTAAATTTAGAAATAAATAAAAAAAATATCCTAAAACGTTTCTTTAACTCAAAGTTCAAAATAGCAGCGCAGCATATTGCAATAATGAAGTGTTTGAAAATATTTACAATATTTCGTGTTAATTGTATAAGATAGGTAATTATTTGTTTGTTAATATTATCTTATCCCCTTGTCACGTTGTTTGTCGTTACTACAGCATGATAAATAAATCATATATATAAAAAATAAATACGAAAAAATTGACAGAAGCTATGCTCGATCGTAGTGTAACGTATGGTTGGTTTCTGAGACCGTAATCCCTGTATAAAACATATCTTCACATCGCATGGCGAAATTTCAACCGTTGATCAACTTATCGGATGTCCGTACCCTTAACGATTAGGCTCTTCCTCCACTAACAATTTTTTTATAAGTATTTTAGTTGGATGGACAACTTAGTTTGGGAGTCAAAGCTCTCTTGAAATGTTAGTAAACATAAAGCTGTATTTATTTCAGAAAAGGAATTTAAACTATGGTAATACTGGGTAAATAAAACACCCAAAAATAATTGGAATGAATTCACTTTATTAAACACAACAACGTCATATGTTCATAACAAATGTTGCCAGTTATAAAAAATAATTTTATTTTATTTACATAGATAAAATATTTCTAATACAAATATCAATCCTATTTCTTACATAGAAAAAAATAAAAGATAAGAGATACATAATACTACCTTATATACCAAATTAATAATTTTAAGAGGAATGGCACATACCATAAACAATTCATCTCTATTCAAATTAAAAAAAAATGAAACGCTTTTTCTCCGATAATATTTATTAACATCTTAACTAAATCGGTGTATTATTAATTACAAATGTATATTACAATAAAGTTTTCTCATAATTAATAAAATTTTGCCTGAAACAAAGGAAAAAAAGAAAAATTTACAATATAAATGTAAAAATCTTATAATCTCGAGGTTTAACTACATTTATAAGACGAAGAACACATTCCTCTGTTATTAGTTCTTTTTTTTCTAAATAAAACGTCACTCGGATCAAAATCGATAATGATAAATATTAAATGAATTACGCGATAAATCGATAAGAGATTAAAACAAATAAGTTTATCTCAGACTTACGTGTCAGATTAGATCTATAATTCCATTTGCATTTTTACATGTTAAGTCTCGGCGGCAGATATAGCGAGTAACTTTTTGTATGAACCGGCGAGAGACCGCGCAGCCAGGGAAAGGATTTCTCTTCTACTAACACCAGTTGTCGCCTCCTGCCACTCTGTATGAGGCACCTAAAAAAAATTATATGAAATTATAAATAAATAGTTTTTCTTTTACTTTTATTTAGGTTTGATCACGAGAACAAAACAAATAAATTTCAATCCGCCATTTTATGGCGGCAACCATCTTGTATTTTTCAGATGACAGAAAATTTGAAAAAATTACATATAAAATTTGAAATTACATCTATCAATTAGAAATATGTATTCATATTCCCGTGAAATGTGTGATTTGTGAGCTTTGGTGGCTCAAGGGTCAAGCACTTGACTTGCAATCATGCAGGTCCTGGGTTCGAATCCCGCCATGTACCAATGTGTTTTCCGATTTACATATGTACATTTATCCGACGTTCTTACGGTGAAGGAAAACATCGTGATGCAACCTGCACATATCTGAGAAGTAATTCAAAGATATGTGTGAAGTCAACGTGGTTGGCTATGGCCTTATCAACCTTAACTTAGGGTAGGCTCCGAGCCCCTCGGTGGGGACGTATGGAAAGCTGATGATGATGATGTGTGATTTATAGGAAAAGAAATTACATGTAAACTGTCCGCCATGACAGATCCTACAGTGAGCGCGTAGCCGGTCTGCGCGTGCGCATAGTCAGCGGGCGTGGCGGCGAGCAGCGCGGCTACAGCTGCGGCCGGCACCGGCGTGCCCTGACTCTGCAGCTGCAGCTCGATGCCCAGCGACGGCTGGGACAGCAACACCAGTGATATCTCGTACCACCTGCTCATATCAACTTGTCTTAATCCTTGCTAATATCATAAATACGAAAGTAACTATGTCTGTCTGTCTTTCTTTCACGCAAAAACTACTGAACCGATTCAAATGAAACTTGGTACAAAAACAGTCTAAAGACTGAGAAAGGACATCGGCTACTTTTTAACGTGAAACTTATTTTTTAGGCAGTTAATTTAATTAACACCGAGGTGATCAACGACACCCATGGACATCTGCAACACCAGAGGAACTACAGATGCGTTGCCGGCCTTTAAGGAAATGGTATGCCCGCTTCTTGAAGGTCCCTAAGTTGTATTGGTTCAGTTCCGTTTTGTTTGTGGTCTGTTGATGGTCGGCCTACTGTTTTCATATATTAAGATGCGATTATATAAATTACCTAATTAATATGGTGACGTGATAGAAAAATATTTATATTGAAAATATATCGTTATATGCCTTGCAACAATTTAGATGTATAGATTGTTTTTTTAATTTTTGTCTGTCTGTTTTTGAGCATTTCTTCCGAGTAATCTCCTAAACGGGTGGATTTGATTTTGACGAGACTTGGGTAGATGATGCACGCGGGCATGTTATAGGTAACTTTTTAAACTTTCGCGATCAATTTTTTTATATAATTTGCTTCATTCAATTAATTCTTGTTTATATAAGATTTTGGTGTTTTTTGTTACTTCACTGGGCTTGTATTATGTGAACACCTATAATTGGGATAAGTTATCAGTTTCTGCTTTTATTATAAGGTTTTTTCGCATGTTTTATAATTTACCTGTTGGTGTATTTAAATAAATAAATAAGAAAGTCCCGGTGGACGTGTATGGTATATCACCTGTCACTGACGGTCTCCTGCAGATAGCTCTCTATAGCGAGGACAGGCACGTTGTTGGTGAGATGCGCGCAGGTGGAGCGCACGTGAGCAATGCGCTGCTTGGCCGCCGCGTACGCAGCCGCGTAACCTACCGGCTGCGCGGCTGTCACATCGCTTTGTGCCGCCTCACCGCTTGCATATTATATAATATATATATTTTTTACTTATAACGCTTCAATAGAAATGTACACAGAAATAAATATTAAATTGAGGCTTTTTGACAAAAAAAAAACACACCGCAAAGTATTCACGCACCTGACGAACCAAATGCAAATGCATTTCACATGACGAGCTTCGGAAGAAAAACCGATAAATCACATTTTTTTTGGTGGAAAAATGTAAAAATATGGCCAAGTTCACAGGCCAACAATTGGAAAATAAAAAAAAATGTATCGGTAATTGTTCCTAAGTTTCTCAAATATTAATTTTAATGTTGTATAACATTGCTATTAAATATTTAAAGGCGCTCTAATATATATTTTAAATTTATATTTACTAAACTTATGTTTGAAAGAGTTATGTACATAATATACTCACACAACAGTCGCTTTGCCGAAAACAGTTTGGAATGCTTCTCTAATTGGTGATACTTTGACTTCCTTATCTGATGCTACAACTATATATAAGTCTCCGCCGCTTTCTGAAAGATAAGTACCATAATTGAAAACAAAATTCTGTAATTAATACTTTTTTATCACAGCTAACATGACATACATTTAATTTAATCAACTTCCGATGACAAAACTCAAGCCTATAAGTATGATAAGACTCTAGAATGCCGATATACATTCACATTTGGGGATTATATCAATTTTTCATTCTAAATCTGCAATAAAAAAGACTAAACAAGGACTGCGCATTACATAGAATTAGAAATCTACACTAAGAGACTGATTAAATAACTCTGGGTATGGCAGTGATACAAAGATACATACTTAAGTACTCCTTCATCTGTGGGTCAAGTGTTGTGATCATGGTATCAACTGAGCTCTTGGCTTTCTCCGCAACGCGTTGCAGTATACCACCTGAGGATACCGCACCCTTCATCCATGTCAGCAGACCACTACCAGGCATTATATCACCTAAAACAGACACCACAGTATACAACAGAATCTCACAATTATAAGAAAGCACAGGGTATAGGATTGGAATGATCAGATTACTAAATTTCACAGAAAAATAAAATAAATATAATTCATAAAATTAAAGAAAAGTAATTCATGAAATAGCATAAATCCTAAAGGAAATATTTATCATTGGATCGGTACCGAGACAAACTACAGAAAACACTAACTTTGGCAACAGAAACTTGAGATTAAATTTTGCTATTACATTCAATGTAAAGACCAAATCACATCCTCTACTTCTCTTTTATGTAAATAAATTTTTAATTACAATATTTATAGATATAAAATATACAAACCAATTTTATCTATTTCTGGTGTGGAAGGTGGTTCAGGAGACTGTGTGGCTTGAGAATCCTCGGGTGATCTGATCGGAAGAGTGGGCTCACCCTTGTTGGGTGGTATTGCAGGACTGTAAAGTATATTAGGCTTAATCATCAAAATTATATCCATATTGTTAATGTATCTCTTTATTATAACAGTATTGAAATATTTATGTTCATTTGTGTTTAAAAAAAATGCAATAAAGTATATCTACATGTTACTTGAATGAAAGTAACTATCAAGCAATACAATTAAAAATTAAATTAATTAAATTTCTTACAATTTCAATGAAAATATAAAATGTACATTTATATACATGACTGACAGAAATTCATGTTTATTTGCTTTATTTAAGACTCTTCCCTTATTTAACTGTTCTTATGCAATTAAAAAAAATATTTTTATCAAAGGCTACACTTTCATAATTGAACTTTACTAAGTTTGTTTTTCATACTCATAAACTTAAATGTAAATTGTAAAATGATACAAATAACTTCTTTTTCTACAGTTAGAATACTACCTAAAAGTCTCCTGTTGTGATGAGTCAATCACGGCATGATCACCTGCAGCAGGTTGCACTGGCTGTGACACTGGTACAATGACACTTGGCTTCTAAAAATAGTATTTGAAAAGGTTAATTATGTCGCAATCTTCATAGTTTGATTGAACAAATTTGATATTACACACTAACAAAATGCCATTACGGGTAGCTTAAATTATCATTGATAGAATAATATTTCAGTATCTACTGTTATAGGTCCCTGAAAAATGGATGGATGAATGAATGCTTGTTATTATGTAGAACATAGAGGATAATGATTAAGTTTTTGTATTATAATTCAGCGGGGACGTTGTCATGGGCAACGGCTAGCTTACTATAAAAAGCATTTTATGTACCTGTAAAACTGGGGAAGCTGTAACAAAGTTGGGAAGTTCAGAAGGCGGAGCTACGCTTGATAATAGATTGACTGGAACACCCGCTGGTGGCACCGGCGCTACCGGTATAGATTTCTTTTTGTTGTCGGTGGCACTCATCTACAAAAATTAAAAAAATAATAATAACACAATCCTGCAATCATAGACGTATTCAATATTCGTGCATTCTTAGTGTAACTAACTTTTTAAGTTCACAATCTATAACCAGTTAATATATATTAACGTTAAATACGTTTATATTTTTCTTGTTGAGGTAGGAATTCCAGTTTTATTTTGTTGACACGGCGTTTTTTTTATTTTGAGTTGTTGATGTTGAAGTTTTGATTGTTTTTGACATTGACAATTTGCTTGTGAGATCTTAAATATGATGACATGTCACTACCAATCGGAATAACAAATACCCGTATACTGCAACACTTTTCAAACAAATCTTGCTATTTCCATAATTTTTATTAACTATAGAAGAGTTTGAAGAATATAAAAACACTAAATATATATAACTTCCATGTTATCAATTAATTTCGTTTTATTTCTATGTAATCCGAATAAAACATTGTGAAAGTAATCTGTGATGCCACACGAACATCTGTCAAAATGCTAATTTGACAATCCATCAACATAACGCATCACTAAAGTTTTATCTTCCCTCTTTGAGCCATTGATTTAAAAACATCATTTTACTCTGACATTATCAAATACGTGGTGCTATAAAATTAATTGAAAATGTCTGAAGAGACCGATGCACCGGTTTTTAGCACTGTTGATATCAACAATGACAACAGAGACGAGGAAGATCTATTTGCTTCAGCGGTTCAGGTAGGTATTTCTTATTAGAATCTCCTAAAAATTACTTCGGTGTACATTAATTTAGCGGTATCCAGTAGAGTTCGTTGACGCCCCTTTTTGTTTAGTGTTCATTTCAACTTATAAACTAAGGAACTACGTATTTATTGGCATAAAAATTAGCAATATAATAAGCAATTATTACTCATAATTGCTATAATTACGATTTGAAGAATGATAACAATGCTAAATAAATGTTATTCACCTTCAAGAACAATTTTTATTTTCCGATCTAATGTAAAATAAGCCTATTATTATTTCTTGTACTTTAAGACTTAATCCTGTTATTATCGTCGTTACTATTCACTAAGGACTTATCACCTAGCTCCTTATATAAATTCATGTAAAACTCGAGTTTAAATACAAATTAAATACTGTATTTCATGATTCAAACTAATATAGCTTTTAGTTAACAGCAAATGCACATTGTTAGGTGGAGCCACTGCTGAAAAAAAATGAGTCAATTTAATGTTTACACTCTAAAATAAGTACCCAACATAAGTTTGAGCAGACATATTGTGATTACTTTTTATATCTATAAATTCTGTGTTACAGGAAGTAAGCCTGGATTCTGAAGTAAATGGTACAAGTGAGTCTTTGGAGAAAGTATCAATAACGGATATGTCATCCATGCCAGCTGTAGTTGGGAGCCCTATTATGGAAGAGGTCAGTTAATAAATATACTTTAAAAGAATTTAAACTGTTAATTGCAATTAAAATAAAATTATTTTTAATCAAACAAAACACTTTCGTCTTTATTTTAGAGCTCAATGTATTGTTTTGAATATTTGCTTTAACTAGTATATTTTTTATTTATCAAATTATCTTTTATGTCAAATGGATTAAAGGACTCTTGGCTCAAAAATATGTTCATTTAAAATGTATGCAAGTTCATTTAGACGTTCATTTCGAGAGGTCATTAACCTGGTAACCTGTCATCTTTAAAAGTACTGATAATATTTTCACTTAATTCATATCAAAACAATTTAACTAAAGTGAAGGATTTGTTTATAACATATTTTCTACTTATCTAATTTTATTATCAAAGCTTAAAGTATGACTCAATCAAGGTAAGTCTTTGTGACTCAGTTCATAGTAATTAAGGTTTACAATTTAAAAGTAAGGAATTAAATTAAGATTAATAAAAATATTCAAATTAAAGATTGTCACTAGAAGTGTCTATTTTCTAAGTAATTGGTTGATTACCATAACTTAATAACACAGGTTTTATTTATATATTACTAGCGATCTTAAATTTTAAAAAAAGCTTAATTAGTAGCCTATGCATTCTTCCAGATCATGTGCTACATATATGCCTAATTTCAACCAAATCCATAAGCTGTCCTCGAGATACCTTCAATCAAACATCCATCCAACCACACATTCAATTTAATAATGTTATAAGTAAAAAGATGTAGTTTTTTTTAAAGATTCAATTTTATAGTATAGTAATACAGTAGAACCCCCCTTATTGATGTTTAATACGATTTCTCACATGAAATGATATGGAGATGAAACAACTCCAATCTTATCAGACGCACAGGCATTGTTAGTTGAATGATTTAAGTCGCAATGTAGTATTTATAATAAAAGCGAAAACGCACTTCAATATTTAAATTGTATTCCATTTATTACTACTAATCATCAACATTTTCCTGTCATCCAAAATAAGTGTACCCTAAATAACATATAATAATGATTAAACAAATTATGTAACATTTATAAATATATCATTCAATACATATATATACGAAATTACATAAATACTAATAAAGTAGTAGTAATTTCATAGTATAGAGTATCACTTATATCTCATTCCCGCATAATAAGCTTTCACGCTTAAGACGCTTTGTCGCTGAGTATGTGAGTCTACTGTACATCCATTTAACATTTGATTTTTTTTATTTTCCAGATAGCTACAGAACGTGCCAATAATATAATAATTACTGTAACAGAACCTCAAAAGATTGGTGAAGGCATGAGCTCATATGTAGCTTATCATGTCCTAACCAAAACAAATATGCCAATATTCAGCAGGCATGAGTTTACTGTCCTCAGACGCTTTAGTGATTTCTTAGGTCTCCATGAGAAATTAACTGAGAAATATCTTCGCTCCGGTAGAATTATACCACCGGCTCCGGAAAAGAGTATTGTTGGTAAGAAATTTTTATTCTTAAGTAACTGTGGGTTTCAAATCACTAAAGACTTGTATTAAAATGTTTTGTCGTTTAACACAATCTCTTTGAAGGTACAGTTTCATCAGTTTCACAATAATATAGGATCATAACATTGCAACTGTCCACTTTTACTGTACAAAGTTAATTAAAATTAGTTTTATTAGTGCAGAAAGAAAAGTCTTTTCCATATTAATATTTCAGGTACAACAAAACTAAAGATGACATCGACCCCGTCAACGGAGAGTGCTAATGGCACCAACTCATCTGCCAGTCTGCAGTCGCAGTTTGTGGAACGGCGTCGCGCAGCCCTCGAGCGCTTTCTGAACCGAGTCGCGCAGCATCCCGTTCTCTGTATAGATCCAGACTTTAGAGAGTTTCTTGAATCCGGTAAGTTAGAAGTTTTTATCAAATTATTATATGTTTTATCGAAAAATTTAAGTTTTTACTTTATGACGTATGGAAGGTTTTCATGTATTTTAATTTGTATTAAATTAGATACAGAGCTGCCTAAGGCTACGAGCACATCAGCGCTCAGCGGTGCGGGAATGTTGCGACTTTTCAACAAAGTTGGAGAGACTGTCAACAAAATCACTTACAGAATGGATGAGTCTGACCCTGTAAGTTTACATTTTTCCTTTTGTCTTCTTTCCTGATTTGTTTTTTTTTTCAATGAAACCTATTAGATAGTGACTATTACTTCATATTGTAAAATTGAATAGAATTATTTATATGGCTATGGAGTAATCACACCCCGAGCCCTTGGGTGGGGAAATATAGTGAGCTGATGATGATTTATATCAATAGTTAATTCTGAACTTAAATTTTGATAAAACATTTAGCGTCATTACTATTTACGAATAAAAGTAAACTTCTCAGCCCAAAGATATGCAAATTGTTAGCACTAAACAAGTTAAATAATATATGTGTTCAGTGGTTTGAGGAGCGCATAGCCCGTGTGGAGGGTCTGGAGGCGCAGTTACGTCGGCTGTGCGGTGCTTGTGAGGCGCTGGCGGGGGAGCGACGCGAGCTGGCGGCGCGCTCGCACGACGCGGCGCGCGCAGCTGCCGCACTCTCCGCCGCGGACCCGCACCCTCCTCTCTCCAGAGCACTCTCACATCTCGCTGATTTACATGAGAAGGTGCATACAGTGCCATCGAAATATTATTACGGCTGATGTAATTTTATTTGAGACGCTGGCCGTTTTCTGGTTTAAGATATTATGTACATTTTACTATCTTACTAATATTATAAATGCTTATGTTTAGATGATGGATGGATGGATGTTTGTTCAAAGGTATCTCGGAAACATTTCAATGGATCTCTATGAAATTTTGCATAGATGTAGAACAAAGTCTGGAAGAATACATAGGCTACTTACTAAATTTTTTTAATACAGTGGAGTCGCGTCCGACAGCTAGTATGTAATTAATTATAAACTGGATGTGAATATCTTTTTATATAATAAAGTTATCAATTATGAAGGTAATTGTTTGTCCACAGATTGAACACCTAAGAATGGAGCAGTCGAATACAGACTTTTATGTATTAACTGAACATATAAAAGATTATCTCGGTCTGATCGGTGCTATTAAGGATGTTTTCCATGAAAGAGTTAAGGTATGTAGTTAAATTGGATATGAATACAGTCAAACTTGGGTAAGCTTGAGTTATCAACGGGGACCAACGGACGAACTCCATAAAAAGGAAGAGAAACCTATGAAACCTTTTATTCTCACTTATCTTGGTTTGATTGTAATTATTTCAGCAATTAATAGCCAACAAGCTCAGATTTGTTAACACTTTCAGCGCTATCGACTCGATTTTTATATGTAAAGGCACTTAATATATTATTATTGTGCGGGGTAAACTACATATAAGCATTTTGTATATAATTTAATGTATATATGTAATTGCAGGTGTTCCAGAACTGGCAGCACGCACAGATGCAGCTGACGAAGCGGCGCGAGAACAAGGCCAAGGCTGAGCTCGCTAACAGACCTGAGAAGATCGAACAAGCCTCCAATGAGATTATTGAGGTAAGGAAAATTGTTAATCAAAGTTCAGTAAGCTAGTTATTTGAATTTAATTAAGATATCAGGTTAACAAACATCAGTTAGTTTGAATGTAGGTAATTTACCGTGGGTTTCTGAGACTAAAAACTCTATATAAAAGGTATCGTCATACCTATCGTTATCTTAGACAAAACAGAGATAATGGGTTTTTAGTCTCAGAAACGCAGGGATAGCACTTATATTTTTCTAAAATTAAAAAAAAGCATTATAGCGATACAATTTTATTTGATATCTTCAAGCGTTTTTTTTTTGTAAATATCATTAAGAACTGTTTTTATGGAAGACAATGAGATTACATATCATTTTTTATATCAATTTAGTGGGAATCTAAAGTGGAAAGAGGTCAGCAAGAGTTCGACACGATCTCTCGCGTCATCAAGAAAGAACTGGAGCGGTGGGAGGAGACGCGCGTCGCGGAGTTGCGCGCTACCATACTGCGGTATCTTGAGGAACATATGAAGCATCAAGCTCAGGTCAGTGCATGTTTACATAACTAACGACATATTTTTAAAATATATAAAGGGCTAACCGTGGGTTTCTGACATCAAAATCTCTATATAAAATATATCGTCATCCCTGTCATTTTCTTTGACAACACAGAGATAACAATGTTTTAAACGGAGATCTAGGCCTCAGAAACCGTCGGTAAAACACTCACGCATAGTTGTCCGGTGTCGGCACCGAGTTCCGAGCCCACCAGGGTAAGTGAGACTGGTGCCGGACGCGGCCCGTTGCTCACTCTAGTCGGTACCGACAACGGACAAATACATCTGCCGTTTACATATTTATTTTATAATAATGTCTTACGAAACTTTAAATGTCATGTTAACTGTCAATTTCTTGACGCTGTTTACGTTTTTCAGTCGATCCGTTACTGGGACGCGTTCCTTCCGGAGGCTCGCGCTATCAAATGAGTGGGGGATTGATCGACATTGATGCGCCAAATCCGACCTTAACATCTACACCATTAATACTAATCTGCATCACATGGCCCATTGTAAATGGTACACTTTAGATAGTCCATACATCGTTAATTCTCATATTAAATATTTGTATTTACGTAGATAGGTCATAAAAGTGTTTTTTACTAATTAATAAAAAAAAAATTTTTAAATGTAGTCCCAAATTAATATAAAATGCATGTATATGCATAACAGGTTTTTTGTAGATAGTTGTCAGTCGACATTTTTTTTTAAATATTTTGTATGGATATAATTTTAGAAATATTGAAATAGTCATGATGTTTAAAAATATATAATTCTGCGTTTCTAACTTTAGATAATCTATGTGGTATATAATAAATGTATATAAAGAGTTTTTCATGTTTAAAAGTTAGGTAATTGTATCATTTACAATCGTCCATTAAGTACCAATTTTAATGTTTATTTTTTCAGTAATATGTTTTAAAATACAATAGAAATATGAGACTCAAATGACACACTTTCCCGGATCTTAGCGATCAACGGTGACGTCATCAAAGTCTACAATCATTTTATTTGCACGCATATTATATAATAATTTATAACTTTTACGGTGAAAATGATATGTAGATTTACAACTAAATATAATGTTTTATTCTGTACACATTCCTTATATGCTATTAATTTCATATACATTAAATCATTTTTTTTTAAATTACAAGACAGAATGAGGGCAAAGTTAATTTTTAAAGGAATTTTTTATTAACCTTTGTAAAAATTCAATTTCATCAAGTAATAAAACAAAAAAAAATGTATTTTTCATGTGATTTAAAAACATAATACTGTTTTGTATATTTGGTTTTCTACACAGTTACATAATATAAGGTAGCAAAAACTTATTGTGTTTGAAAAATTATTTACTATTTGATTGCTTATTATGTATAAGATTAGGATGTGATTTTGTTCCATTCGTTTATATATTTTAAGCTAATTGTTTTATAATATAATAATCTTATTCTTATTTAATAAAATATATTTCATGTAATGTTTCAAATATTGTTACAGTCAGAGAATTTGCACTTTACTATTTTTCTACCATGTGATGATGACCACATCATCACTTAACGTCAGGTGGGATCTTGGTCAAGTACTAGCTTAATGAATATAAAAAAATTACCTAACATTATTCTAAGTGATTAATTTATACTTTTCATATATTCTGTCGATTTAATTGCTTAAAATAATATATATTTTTTTTATAAAATTATCGTATAAATTGGCAAAAGAACTGAATTAGGATCTCATTATTTTTGAGGCTTTTATGGATTATTTTAAAAAGAGATTACTTTTTTGTGTCCATTTATTAAATTAATAAAAAAAAACATACAGGCGAATTGATAACCTTCTTTTTGAAGTCGGCTGAAAGTAATTGTCTATGCCCCTGTGACGTATTAGGATTTTTTTTGCGCAATCCGTATTTTTATTGAAAGTGATTAAACAATTTGGCATTAAAGGTATTATGTCCATAAATTATAAATTATTGAGATTAAATTAATCAACTTATATTAAACAATGATAATATAATTATTAGAACTTTATCAATTCAAACGTTTTATCAAATTTCCCGAAGATGATTTAAAAAAAAAAGTTGAAAATAAAAAAAAATTGGAAAAAATAAGACAAAATAAATAATTTAATACATACACATGTTTTTATTTGTTTGTTTTTATGTAAGTGAAATTATTTTTATGTAAGAAATGTATTTAGAAATATAAAAATTTCAAAACAAATCATCATACATTGATAAGATAGCAACAACTTATGGATAACTTTGTTATTATCTGTCTGTTTATTTTTTATTGTACGCATTATTAAATGATTACAACAAAGGGGGCAAGTGGATTGCAAAGTAAACTTGTTTATATAAAAATGTTGAAAGTAAATAAAAAATTACTTTATAACTCTGGCTGTAACAACTTTAAATAATTGTATATTATATACGATTTAAAAAATCTCGAGTCTAATGTATTCATTATTTTTTATATTGCCAAATATATTTAGTGGTAATTCGGTGTAAAGAGATGTTTATATAAGTGAAATATAAATAACGTTGGTTTATTCTAGAATGTATACTTTATTCCTATTATAATTATTAATTGAATATTCTGTGTTTTATTAATTACCCCTATACATACGAAACAACTAGTTCTCTAGCGGGCCGGACTTAATAACCTCTGATTTCGTCACGTGAGTCACTGTCATAGTTTAAAAAAAAATTCAATATATTAAGATTAGTTTTTGCAAACTATAAACAAAGTCGAAACTGAATAAGCATGAGTAAGAGAGACCGCAATATATTTCTCGTTTATAGAGGCTCCTTTCTATCCCGAGTTACTCATTTAGGTAGGACCATCGGGACCGGATAAGGCCTCTCGCTTAGAGGTCTCTCGGTAATAAAGCTTCGATGTATATGGTATTAAAATATGGGTAAAGAGACTAGTCATAAAGATTTTTTTAGTTTTGATGGTGAAATAAATGAGGAAATTAAATGCTTGATCACGTGGGATATCGTAGAATCGCTTCCAAAGTCCACAAAATACTAATTTATAAGAATATTAGCTGTCGCCTGCGGCTCCGTCCGCGCGGGATTAAAAAAAAGGTTCCTAAAGGGGTTTCCCGGCAGTTATTCGAATTTTTCTCAACTTTTAAACCTTCCCTAGACCTCCAAGAACATTTCAAAACAAAAAAAAGATAAATCCGTTCAGCCGTTTTCGAGTTTTAGCGAGACTAACGAACATCACTTGATTTTTATATATATAGATAAGAATATATAAAGAAAGTGATGGAACTGACTGTACACCGAAAATTATTGGATTCCAATAAATCCAAACTCTTTCTTGTACTTTCATTCATATTTTTGTCCCAGTTCCTGTACAAGAGTTAAACTCTTCGATAACAATCATTCGTCTACTCATGTCAAGGCACTATCAGCACATAATGTGTACTGGTTTTTTGCGTTCACCGAACTTTGTTAACATTAACAATCTATAAGTGACATCAATGTTATCAAAAGAAACAGGATATGGTTTTCCCAAATACTATAAAAATGTAAGCCGGAAATTTATTGCCCATAGACATTATGAACCGAATATGCATCATTTAAACCGTATTAATCATAACTATTAGTCATAATAAATATAAGTCATAGGTCGCTAAGAACATAATAATAAACTAATCTTAGTTTTTTCTAAGTTTTTCATTGTTTTTCAATATATTTCAAGTAATAAAGTATTTATTGTTATTTGTTTATGTTCATTGGTTAGCACCACTATTACCGAGCGATTTTACTGCGTAGCGGAATTGTTTTTAAAGCAATACGACATAGAATCCTTTAAGAGATATGCCACATTAGTGCGTTATATTGTTTATGCGTTAACGTTGCGTTTTCCATGCGTTTTACTGTGCTTGCTCAATATGCCATGTACCAACGAATAGACAGATAGAAGACGAAGTGTTCATTTCAAATCGGTACGATTTAGTTTCCTTCAAGAATCCAGCGTAAATCATCACACATCTGCAGTTCTTCCGGTGTTAATGACGTCCAAGGACGTCGATGTCACCACGTTGTTCCTGCTGATTTGCCCGTTATCTTATGGAAAAAAGCGGACAGTCTTTATAAATGCTTGCCACGGTGTATGACGCCATTTTGCGTTGAAATATCGTGTATCGTAGCAACGCACGTGTGGCATATAATGTGGATCAGGTGCGACGTCGCATCGTAATGTGAGGGGCCTCTAATAGCGTACTCTTTCTCATAAGCAACACTGCATTTCCATCGGTGTTGTACAAGTTTATGAGAGTTGATCACTGAATAAAACAGTTGTTAATATTAGGCGTCTCGCTGTTCATTCAGCCATAACAATATAAGAGTTTGAAAGAGTGAATGCGTATTAGGTATTATTTTATTTAAGCATAATGAATCATTGAATTTTAAAAACAAACCAAAGCTGTTATTGATGCATTATTTCTCTTTAAAAACATACAATGCCGACGTTATGAAAACAACCCTTTGTAACCACCAAAGCGCCTTTAACAGTTACTTGATATAGATTTTTTTATAGTCAACGGTAGTTACATTTGTTAAAAGAAATGAAATATGCATTTAATGCGATTTCACTGAAACACGACATGGAATTATATTGTTATTACAAAAATAAGAACGCAAAACAAGACGACAAAAACTACAATTTGTAATTACACAATAATAGTGTATAAAAGTGTTAGGATTAAATATCAAATCAAAACGTACGTGGACAAATCAAGTTTCTGTGATAAGTAGCTACTATCAATATCTTGCAGACGATAATTATATATTGATTACCTATATAAGAGGAAAAGTTATCATTTGTGATTTGTTTTACAATAAAACTGTCAGGTAAGTACTGAAATATTATTTCATCCAACAGCACTCTAATTTATTTACATTTCAATAAAGGTATCAAACAGTACGATACAAACTTCGTAAGATTTTACTAAAAGTGTTAAATTTAACGCATTTTTTTTTATTTAAAATAAGTTTTAATTGGTGCAAGTGTTTTAAAGTGCTTGATTTGCTCAATCTTGTGTAAGGAAAATATTCTATAGAACATTTATTTTTGGTTGCAGTTAAAATGCGAGTGCTCGTTGCGATCACGCTATTATCAGTAGCATGGGCTCTGCCGGCCCCAAACGCGCCTGCCGTCTTCGACTTTAGGAGTCTATTCGCGCCACAAGACGCCGACCTAAGCCAGGACTCCGGCACCGCAGTAAACTTTGTCAACTCCCCATTGAACGAGGATGAGGGCAGGGCTGTACACTTTGTAGATTCACCACAAGAGGATATGACAAATGGGCATGTCATTCGCTCAGCTAGCAACTTCGAAGAGATCAGTGAAGATGACAACATTGTTAGATTCGTTGACATACCGACCAATGAGGAAGCTAACGATGGAGTAGCTATTGACTTCGTCGACTCGCCTGTGGAACCAATCTCTGATGATTCAAATGTCGCTCGCTTCTCCGATAACGGAATGGCCGTTAACTTCGTTGACACCCCTATTGAACAGGCTGATGATGGTGCTGCAGTTCATTTCGTTGACAACGTAGAATCGGCTGCTGAAGACAGTGCGATATCCGCCTTTGCGGGTATGCCACTTAACGAGGAAGTTCATGATGATGGTACATCGATTAATTTCGTAAATTCACCAATGAATGAAATTTTAGAAGCTGGTGCAGCTGATATTATTCTTATCGGACACGTGTTTGAACCCATCAGTGCTTCAGAGCTGGAGACCATCAATGTCGAACTTCCCGAAGACTTTTACGATGTACACTACCCCGGCAAGATTTACGACAACCCGATGCTTCGTTAATAAAAATAAAGGAACATAACATCCTTGAGCACTATCATACAATGATAACTATGAAATTAAATTATATTTTGTAATTTTTTTTTATTGTTTTTAATTTAATTTTAACCAAAATAAAAGATCTGAGGATCATGTACATCTACCAAATATCGTATTTATGATCTATATATCGTGATATTATATATTTTCCCATATTTCTTGTGCTAGACATGTTTTGGACTTAGATGATATCATAGTGTCAATGTTTTTCTTGTCTTGTAGCATTAAAAAAACAAGCAATCACACACCATATAAATTTGTACTCACTCTGACCTTTAATGATCACCCAAAATCATATAAAGATACTGGCACCCAGCAAAAAGAAATTCAATTAAGTAAAGAGCCAGTGTTTTGTTACGTAGCAAAAAAATCATCATTATAATAATTATGTTAATTGATGTATAATAATGATAAACAAGTACATGTTTGACAATTTAATATGACAACTATCTACATTTGCACTGTTTTAATCTACATAAAAATCTGCACAAGTAACTTAGCTTATCTTGTACTTATTTAAGCACATAATCCTCCGGATATTCCATTACTTTTGGATATTTCTGGACTTCTTCTTCAGGTATGTGATCAAGCCTGGTTGGTACAAGACGTATTTGACGAATTTGGTTTGTAATATTCTGCTTTATGTCATCTGGTATAGTTTCCCCAGGGTAAATAAGTAACCTTTCCATAGTGTGTCGCCTTTGTAGATTTCCTTTAAGAGCTCTATATACTGCCTTTTTGATAATCTGCAATAAAATGTATAATATATCATAACTAGTCTGCCTGGTATCAAAATCTTCAAAAGATTTCTTTATTTAAATTTTAAGGCACAAAGTAATAGGTAAAAAATATATTTTTTTATATTATAAGGAAAAAAAACAAGCAAGTTGCCACCTGCGAAAAACCAATAGTGGAAAAACAAAACTGGCAATAGACATCCACAATTGCAGATGTTTTGCTTGCCTTTAATCATAGAAAGGGGCGACGCAAATAAAGAGAATATTTCTCCTACTTATGCATCTCCTCCTTCATCATGCCAACTTCTCCATCCCATCCTTTCCTTATAAGAAAAGAGGGGAAAAGGACAGTAGACTAAAATTAGACCTCTGATATGCACACTTACGAGAGGAAATACAATTAATTTGTTATAGACCCTTCCCTTCCTTCTTATCAGTATGTTACACTTATAATACTCATAAAACCTTACCATAGTAGGATCTTTACTATGCAGCTCCCATGCTAATGTCCAAGTAGCCCCGCCAGGGTATCCGGTGTGGTGGAAGTAAGCTCGTTGTCTCCAATCATTGCCTCTTAATGCTATATCTCGACTGTTTATGCACACAACAACATCGCCACAGTCGTTCATCGGATGATATATCGGTTTGTGTAAACCCATCAAATATTTTTTAATTACGCCGGCCGACTCATACGGATCTTGCCATTTGCAATCAAAAACATGCCATGTACGAGCAAATGTAGCCCATTGCTGTAACCAGAATACGTATTTTCTTAATAATACAGAAGAAAAAACTAACCAAAAAACCAAGTATCGATTGTGTGTTACCTGGACCCTTTTTACAGCTGACATTTTAAAATAAGAATTTTAGTCACTTCGGTGTTATTTTTTCCTTTATTAGTTTCTTTTAATTTATAAACAAAGTAAACGAAATTAAAAGATAGTAGTAGAGTTATAGGTTATGTCTATTATGACATTTACTGACATTAACCAACATTAACACTCAATGTTGTCAGTGTTATCGACGTGTTGCTAGATTTTTCATAAAATTGAGTTAATCAAATTATGAACAAAACTTTTTGAAAACTTTTCTCAAAGCTTCCCAAATAAATATTTTCGAAGACTACACATTAGTCTTTATGTCATACTGTAGCGGTAAATGTAATATCTCTACTTTATACTACTATTTTTTCTACACATTTATCTAAATAGCAGTTGCGTATAAATTAAACATTGCTATATATAGAAAATAAATTCATGTAATATTATGATGAGTTTATTTTACTATAATATTAGATGTTATTATAATTAGGCATGTCTTTCGGTAACGGCAAAGTGTATGGTATTATTTGTTCGCCTTTAGTAGTATCTAATTCACGATAGCCCATTTGATGGTCAACATTAATATGTTCCGTCCAATAATTCACTAATATCGGTTTTAAAGTTCCATTCCAATGCTGAAATCAAAAAGCTAGCTATAAAAACTGACATGGGATACCTAATATACGCAGCTGTTGATTTTTTTCAGTATTTGTATACTAACGTTCCTTGTATGATCAATCCAAATGAGTAAAGTAGTATTCTGATGTTGCCTACAGAGTTGTGTTGCCTTGCTGAGCTTTCTAAAAGCTCGCGACTTTTTATCACTTATACAATTATAGTACGCTAATAACAAGAAATATCTGAAAGAAAATATTTTGATAGTATTAGCACATTAAGAATAAATAGTTCTTATTTATTTCTCCGACAGATTACCATTCAAAATTCCCCACCTCGGTTGATACATGCGAGCTTGTTTGCAAGCGCTGTTTAAATCTCCAAAAAGAGACTTTACAAGTTTCGCATACATTTGAATTTTTCTTACATTTCTATTATCTATCTGAAATATTAAACATACTATGCACTCTTTTACCTTCTAGGGACATTATGAATATCATAGAAAAAAGTACATATGATAAATACCTCTTGCACCATACTTATAAGCAGTCCTTCGATCAGTCTTACTAATATCATAGCGCAGAATTCATGACTTTCATACTTCATTGAAACAAGTTGCTTTATCTTATCTTCCCACATTATTGACTTTTCCCAAATGCCCACACGTATAGTACTTTAAATAATTATAACAAAAATATAAAGACACGAAATAGATAGGGTTTCGGATTTCTGTCGTTAGTTTTTTTTTACCGTAACTCCTGGTACAAAAACAATATTTGTCATCCCTCTCTATTTCTTTAACAAAACAGAGAAAACATTACTTTGTGCAGGAGTTTCAGCAATGAAAAACCTCGATAAATTTCAAAAATCAATCTGTCCAAAATCAGATAAACTAACACAAGCCACATGCAAACGAAGAAATTCCATGCTGCTTCAGAAGTTTTGGAACGAAGTATGGCGTCGCCTTTTTTTAAATAGAATCTTTCGCAACTTTTATACGACTCCACGGTATGTCCCGTGTCCAATAAAATCACCATCGCATAGTAATAGTACCAGGTTTCGGCTGAAATAAATCGTATCGTAAATAAGTAACAAAAATTACGTAAAATTATTGATTTATTCAACTAAACAATTAATTCTACAACGATATTTATCAGACTCACAACTTAAATCGTAATGGTCAGTCATATAAAAGAACTCTCGCATAATTGCGATCATATCGTGGACTCTGGTCTCTGCGAGCAGCAGCTTCAGGATCCAGAGAACGAGCACCTGGCGCGTCCTCAGCTCCGTGATGCTACTCATCATACGCATCACCTCCAAACCCAGTTCTATACTCTCCGCTCTCTTGCCACTTTCCACACTACAAAATATTCCGCAATGAAATAAATAAATGAATTCGTATTCTACCTTGAAGTGTCACTTGGATTTCGAAGATTGATGAGGTTAATGTTTATAAGTACACTAGCGGACTCGACAGACGTTGTCCTGTCTACACGTCATTAATTTGAAAATTCGAATATTATTTAAAATTTGACACTGCGATGGTAGCGCCGTCTGTCGGATCCAATGTAAAACATTCCAAAATCAACAACTACTAATAAATTAAAAATTAATTTAAAAACATTGTCCAGCGGACAAAATTGTGAATCTAAACCATTCCCAGATCCCCTTGAACACACACAAAAAATTTCATCAAAATCGGTCCAGTCGTTTGAGAGAAGTTCAGTGACATACACACGCACAGAAGAATTATAAATACAAAGATTTACTAATAATTAAAGAAACTCAAAGTAAATACAAACTGAAAAAGAAATATATTAGTATAAAGATATCCCGCGGCCTGAACTTCTGTCACGTCGATTTTTCCAATCTTCCGATTACATATATCCATTGATCGCTGCTCCAGCATTTCGCACTTTGAAAACTGAAATAACAGCCATAGAAAAAGAACAAATAAATTAAAAAGCGAGGTAAGCCAAAGCCAATTTATCATACATCAAATGTTTTGGAAGCCTAAATATTCTGTAAAATCGGTTAGTCGCCTTCAGATCAATAATAATGAGCAATAAAAAGACTTTTACGTACATCTCGTTCCTGAGCACATAAAGTTATCATATTCCCATAGCACATACATAACAGTCGAAAATTAGAGTCAGTGCGTAGAGCATAATTCATGGCCCACTTTGCAGCTAAAACTGCATTGGATTTCTCCCTACATTCCTGGAATATAAAGACACATAATATCAATACAACTAAGGAGAAGCATACTCCATCTTTTTCACTATTCACTGAGCTTAAAAATAGAATGACTTACTTTTGGAACTATATGAAAATCTGATGCGTTTTTTTATCATAAATATATTTTATACTATACTAACAATAAATACTTTATTCAAACTGATAAGCGTCCATGCTATACACTCGTAGAACTGGCCCGACACTCCGCGGTCCCTGGCCACGTAGCATTGAGGTGCGATGTAAAATGCCATCAATTGGCTAAAGGAAACGCACATATGTCGCAGACGTGTGGCATGCCTGTAATTTACAGGGAATTCCATCAAGCAAACAACACTACAAAAATGGCAAAATGTCACTCGGATAAAAAAGTGTAAAAAAGCATGTTTTGCTAAACTACCAAAACGTTACATTAAGGGTTGTATGGGACAAAGGCACAAAGAAAATTTATAATATCAAAACAAACATCTTACTTGGAGCTAGGAAAAGGGTCAGAGAAGAGCTTCAATGCTTCCAGGAGCAGCTTCTTTGCTTCATCCAGGTCGCCTGACTCCAAGAGGCAAGCACCGCGGTGCGACAGGATACGCCCCAGTCGGAAGTCATTTATCCATTCAAGATCACATTTGTTTTTTGTACGAAACTTTTCAGACTGTAAAATGATCGAAAACTTTCATATACTTTCATGGCAAAAAATATACACCCTTTAAAATATTACACAGTACCCGCTGTTTGATTTTGAACGTCTAGAATGCCAGTATTCTCATCTCATCACAATCGCAATGTTCAATACGTATTAATCTGTCAGAGCCAATGAGTTAGAAAGGAACTGCTAATCTTACATTAATCAAGGTCTCCACTTCAAAGAGCAGACGAATCGCTTGCGGCATATTTAAATTAATAGCACTTAAATCCGTATATTCCAGGTAAGCTTCAAACAATTTCTCAAATTCCTCTGAAAGTTTATAATAAGATCTAATAAAAAAACTGTTATCATTGAGCAACTGGATTATTGAATACTAAATTTATTCAGTTCATAAAATATGTGCTTAGAAGTAAAGTGTATAAAAGTTGTTTGTATAGCTACTTTAAGCCATAGGACAATCTGTAGCTGATAAAGGATAATTACCAGCACCAAAGCAGTGGTCAACAGCCTGACAGTATGCGGATAGAAGAATAGGCAAACACTCGCAAGTGCTAAAGTCATAAGAAAAAAATGGACGACCGTCTCTACTCCCGCCATACTCTCCTGTCAAGCGACGGATTCTTCTCTCATTTTCCGCCAAACCTTAAAATGTATCATGGTTTTTAGATTTTTACTATGCTGATAGTCTTTTTTAAAATAAAATTAAAATACCTTCAGATTCCGTCAATATGGTTGTATTCGTATTTCTTCGGACGTTCATCTAAGAGGAAGAAAAAACAATTAAACTTATTACCAGCATCAAAGTCAAAAGATCAACTTTAGTATCACACTTAGTAAGTACCTTGGTATAATTCCAAAGACTCAGTAAGGCAATATTGTAAAATAAATAAAAAGGTGTATAATTTAAAACCGTTAGCTCCATAGATGGCTGCATCGCAAAAGACCGGTGTGTATACTGCTCGTCTGCTGTTTTAGTCTCCGCGCTGAAACCAGATATCTGTTCACGGACACGCTTCAGTTCGTCACTTTCGCGTATTAATCCCTGAAGACATTAAAATTAAATGTTGATTATTCCTGATACTTCAAAATATACTATGCTTATAATTTAAAAGTAAATTTTGTCTCAATCTCTGTACTATGTTGTTGGTCTGATGTTATTTTTTTGTCTATACTTTTAGCTAGCTTATTATATAGCCATTTATACGGCTAGGTTAATAACCTTATTCAGTAAGTAAAAGACTTCAGAACGTAACCCAATATCAACTTCCAACATCTAAATTCACACATAACTGTACTATAATCAATTCGTGATGATAACGGATCACCGTCTTCGAATCATGGTGATGATGATGATAAGTAGCTTACGTCGTTACATCTAAGTCCTAAAAATTTGACAAAGCATCCGCCACCGCAGGAGACACAACGCCTCGTGTATCGTTCTAGGTACAGTAACGCCCTCGTATGCATATTACGCTGTAAATAAAATTATATTTAAAACTTTATTAACAAGAAAGATAAATTAGAAAGAATATCGAACATTGTAAAACTAGTATTAAAACAGTATTAAGAAAGGAATCTGTATAACTAGTAAATTAACTTGCCTTTTGATTTTCAGTAAGCAACTCATAGGTCGTTGTTCGAAACATTATATGCTTAAATTTCATGTACCCACAGAAAGCATACATTGGCAGATCTTTACAATTGACTAGAGAAAAAAATATATTAATAAAAATCTATGCATTTTTATTACATTAAAAATCACTACTCACACTTACTAACTGAAATTTATGTAAATTTAAAGTAAAAATGGTTATAAACAATGGAAATCCCATAAATGCAATCATTACGATATAAGTTCATCTTTCTTTTTTAACAGTCTTTTAAACTTCAACAGCCCCTTACTAGTAGTAACTTACGTGGAGGTCTAATGCCCAAACAACGGCAGTACGGCGCCTTGCAGTCGTTAGGCACCGGCGCTGGATGTACTAACACGAGAGAACTGTCTCGCGTAAAGTCACCACCTTCGCACTCCAGTACACGGATGGAGAACAGCTTGGCTACAGCTTTTATAAAACAAATACATTGCATCTGTTATGCATTGCAGCTTGGATGTATATATCATCTTTATCACTAGGCTATTTTTCATGTCTACCTACCCTGTGCGACCTTCCTCTGCTCGTCCGTCTGTAGCAAATGTTGCAGCACGCGCCGGGAGAACACCTCGCCCAGCACTGAACTGCATTTCAATACCATCTTCTCGAAAGGACTTAGCGAGTCGTACGTCTTCAGAATTAGAACTTGCAGAAAAAAAACAGCTTATAACCACTGAACTTATAAACATTGAATCTATTTCCTTACGTATTTTGTCCCACTCTTTCATAATATCTCCCTTTTCAGCGGTTCAATGGTGGATGAAGACTTTCTAAATTTAAACGTCACAAATCTTGATCACCTGCTAAACTTATCCAGTGGACTTTTGCAACTTTAATCCGGACAGGTCAACGTGTTTCTCTAGTATACCAGATCAATTATTCATAGAAATTCATTGAGTAATTACCGTCCATTTTAACATCGCCTTTTATATCCTCAAAGGTATAAGAATCAGCGAGAACCGCCATTTGTATTACATCAGTCTCCTGCATCGCCTCTTGTTTAGTCCCGAAACTTATATTCAAACTGTAAATACTGGCCTGATCGAAAATTTAAATTTAAAAGTTTCCGTTCCAAATTCAAATACAATAACCAATATACACAGACCTGCGCTCCAAGTGATTCATCATAAAGTGAGAGGTCATGATCTGGTCGCTGTAATAGGGATATCGAAGGCATGACCGCCCCGGTTTCGCGCGCCTCGCTCCGAGTCACCGTGGCTATCGTAAGGTCTCCACTTTGTACCAGCGATATGACAAAATTCTGGATCCATCCCGGCATACCATTGCTGGCACTTTCTATCATCCTGTTTTTAAACCACTCATTTATAACTATCAAACTATCATTGCCCTCTATTTAAAAGATAATTTTTCAATTATTCAGCTATCGCATCTTTACACCAATTACTTACAATTTAAAAATAACCGGAGAACCAAAACGTCATATTAGCAGTTGTTTCCACTTTGTCTACCCAAAAACAGCGAGGTTAAAAGAGAATTTAAATATTTACATTATGTCATCTATTTGTCTTATATTTATATAATAATTGTATACATTTTAATATATTTACTTTTCTAAGTCCGCGGGTATGGCTTGAACATCTAACATTTGGCAGACCAACGCCGCGTGGTACCAGCGGTCGATGCCGGACACCTCCAACTTGACTATCATATCATTTTCCAAACATGTGTTTGCCACAGCTGAAAACAAGAAAAATATATAGCCATAAGGTATACCAAAACCATGCTAAATATTATATTTATTTCTATTTAGTTGGCGTATATTTTTATAAAAATTGAACAACGCTTGATTCTTTAGAATACAAATTAACATTTATGATTTGATTAATAGTTCATACCTGATGTCAAAGCTGTATTTCTTATAGTGAAAAGAAAAAAGATTTTCTTAATATCTAGAAGTAGGAGTATGACGCGCCAAGACTCGTCGTCAGCGTATTGCGCGTCTGTCACGGCAACTAAACGAAGGCTTGGAATGTTCTGGAATAGTAACGAATGTGAAAAAATTAAGACTATGTATTATTAAAATGTTTATGTTTTAGACCATCTCGCACTATAACTTACTACTTTCTATTGCTTGTAAAAGTACTGCTCAAATACTCAAACGATTCCATCTTAGTAGCGTATGTTTTTTGCAATCTTTTATAATCTCACCTTTATGAAAATTTCTTTGATAATCTTCTTTATATCATATACACCGAGAAAGTCTCCGGCATAAGAAAACTTCTCAGGCAAGGGGAAACGGCAATCGAATATTGTGTTCACAGCTAAAATCTCCACTGCACGTAACGAAGTTACATCAACACTAATAAATTGTAAATAAAACATAAAAATTGGGATATATTTCATCTCTACATTATAAAACAAGCATTATTTAAGGCGAAATAATTGAACTCTGAAAGAAGTTTAGTTCTTGACGATAATTTTGACAGTGGTAGAGCCCGGCTCACCGGTAAAATACTACGACCACACAGAAGATAGGCGTCAAGTGGAAGCTATTCCGCGTGCAGTCTGATGAGTGTGCGTCCCGGAGGCCTAATTTTGTTCTCTTTCCCTTCCTACCCTTTTTCTTATAAGGAAAGGATAGGAAGTGGAAGTGGACTTTCCGGATGAGAGGATGCATGGAAAGAGAAAATATTTTCTTTCTCTGCAACCCCTCCTGCGTCGTTTAAAGGTAGGCAACGCATATGCAATTGCGTATGTCTATGGGCAACGGTCACTTCGCTATTTTAGCGATTTCAGGAGGCCGCCTGCTCGTTTATCACCTAATTATATAAAAAAAAATACTTACCTTAGTCTTATCCTATTCTCTCGGCTTTCTCTTGCGGGTCGCATATGGCTTGAAAAAATCGTGGCAACAATTTTACGCATTAAACCAAATGGCGTCTAGAAATAACATATTTAACTTTTAAAAATTTCGTCTAGTAAAGGGCAACGTAATACACAAGAATAAATTTAATACAGTTTGTGCTAAAAATAAAAGAATTATGCTTGAGTACCTTCTCATAGTCCTTTAAATAAATTCTATTAACAAGTACGAACTTAGGAGTTATGTAGAGGCATTCATCTAGAAGCCTTGTTTTTCCCACTTGTTGTGGGCCCTGCGAATTAAACTGGTAATTCAAATTTTATTATCTTCCAGTGTCTAACTCAGAAATAACTAACAATTGCCAACCAACAATTGTTTAGAAAATTATAAGTGCTACCCCTAGTCTCTTCTTCTTTTTGGACATATTATTAATACTATAAATGCGAATGTTTAAATGGATGGAGGGAGGTATGGCTTGAATGGATCTTGATGAAATTTGGCATACATATGGAACACAGTCTGGAAGAACACATAGGCTTCTTATATTTTTTTTATTTCTGCGTTGACGGAGTCGCGGGCGATTGCTAGTCTAAAATAACTCTTACTATAAATGCTATTCCAAATTTATGGTCCCGAAATCTTGTGAACTTGTAATTTTGCTGTTCCAAAGCGTTATGTAGAGTCATTTTGTATATACGAAGTTCTTCGTTACGGCCTAGCAGTGGGTGCCTCCAGCAGCCCAGATGGTCCGATCGACTGCGCAAGAAGCAAAAGACATTATAATTAAAAAAATAAAGACACTGGCTGATGATAACATTGATTAAATACATAATCTGTATTCCAGAGTAATAGATATTTTACTTTAGGTGTTTTTGACATATTTTTTTCTCATTTCACTAATTCTAGTCGAATAATGTGACAAAGATAAATCATAACTCTTAACACGCATAACACATTGTAAAACGGTTTCATTTTATGTTTTTTTTTTTTAATCGAAAATTATAAAATTGATAAACGCATACATGCATATTAATCAATGTTCGTTAGACAATCAAAGGAAGTGGCCACTGAATTAATAAAGTATCACAGCTATACTTGAGAAATATCTATTCATATTTTGTATATGATATTATTTTTTTATAACATAAGGTGGCAAACGAGCGAGCGGCCACCTGAAATCGCCGAAACAGCGAAGTGACCGTTGCCCATAGACATACGCAATTGCATATGCGTTGCCTACCTTCAATCGACGGAGGAGAGGATGCACAGAAAGAAAATATTTACCGTTCTCATGCATCCTCTCATCCGGAAAGTCCACTTACACTTCCCATCCTTTTCTTATAAGAAAAAGAGTGGGAAGGGAAAGAGGACTAAACTAGGCCTCCGGGACACACACTCATCAGACGAAACGCGGAATTGCTTCCACTTCACGCCTGTCTTCTGTGTGATATGCCACATTTCAAATTTAAAATTTGTATAACATGAAATAACTTATTGTTACTTACCGCTGTTTATTATATTCGTAAATAGGTCCTGGTTTGGAAAAGCCTTTCAATGGTTTCTCTTCCATCAGCTTGAAATGGTCATGGTCCAGTTTGCTCTTCAAGAACGTTTCTTTATCACATGTCACTTTGTCCAAATAAGTTGTCATTAATCTAGCAGCCTGATAATAAACATTTGAAGAATATTATCAATCTTACTAATATTACAAATGGTAATGTATGGATATTTGTTAGAAAGTATCTACAGAACAGCCGAATGGATCTCGTTAAAGTTTGACATAAATGTAAAACTGGAGGAACACATAGGCTACTAATTAAGTTTATCTTAAACCGGCGCGGACGGAGTCGCGGGCGACAACTAGTAAGATATAAGCATGGGCGATGCCATCCTAATTGTTTTATTTATGGCATGAAGGAAATTTTGATTCATTGCAGGTTACTGTACCATTGTAAAAACAATATGACAAAGTATACCTTATTAACAGCTGACCCAATGACTGTGTATTCACGTCGTAAAACGTGACCTACGACTCCGCAGTAAGTGGAACCTGTTGATAAATAGCACACTGTTATCGTTACACATAAATAATAACCGTTTTTTATCTTCTTGTACCCAACTGACAGAAGACAACATAATATTTTTCGCGCTTTATAAGATTATCCGTTACATTATGACCTAGTCCAAAATTTTATCTCGTGTACTGCCGTTCGGTATTTTCCTCCATAGAGTTACAGTCAAAAAAGCATTAAAGTAAATAAAATAACTAACCAGATGTAACACCAATACTGACGCTAATGATGTTAGAGTTCTTGAGATTTTCTTTCAGAGTTAGTGCGCATTCGAGCGCCTTGCGTGCCTCGTCTTCGTGCTTGAGCCCACGCAAACCAAAGACAACGAGAAACATCATGTCCTTGTCGAACATCGACACTTTGTTGACTAGTCCACCAGCCTCCGCTGTCACACTACAATGATTATTCAAAAATGATTATCAAACAAGAAAGAAAGTCAAGCTCAAAAGAGTCTGGAATATACCCATTTCCACACAAGAAAATACTAATAACACTACTCACCCGCAAACACGTCTATAAGCAGCATCCACAACACTAATCAGTATATCAGCGGTCACAGTTTTAGTGATGATATTGATGAAGACGATAAGCACGTGACGCACTTCAGCCAGGAAGTTCATGGGCTCGTCATTGTCGACAGCGCGTAGGATAGGGCGCAACATAAAGCGACGCAGCGCCGTGCCCCACGAGCCTCGGATAGCGGCCACAACCGCTGGACGTACTAGTACATTCACTGACTTGAGATTTTATAGTTCTTTACAAATATTTTAGCGGCCCAAGGTCATTGGCATAGTCGCGCAGTGCACTCCCCTGCATCCCGCTACCAAGATATCTTAGAATTCGCGTCTACATAAAGTTTGTTTATTATTTGGCATTTATATTTAAATAAAAGGAAATTGTTAAACTTACGTGAAAATTCTCTCAAGTTTACACCGGCGGTACCGTCAGGTCGATGTTTTTGCTCGGTACATTCGAAAGGTTCCTCTTTAATTATACATCAATAAAATGAATATTTCAATTATAATAACTACTATATAAATATAATAAGGCATATTTAGAAATATACCACAACTTACCATTACTAAATGCAATTAATGAATGTAATTTCTCAACTCTCTTCCAAGTCGCACCAATACCAAGTACCTGCAATATTTCATTCAATGTTTTGTACCTAATAGATACTGTTACTCAAACTACGCTTAAACAGTTTGCACAGAACTTCAGTAATTATTAGTTCGCGCGAGTTTGAGTAACTGGAAGTCAGAAGACGTGATGATAAATCTATTTTCTCCATGTACATACACTTTCATTAAAGAACAAAATCGATTTCTTTCGTTTTTATTGTTCAACCGACGATGGAGTAATTGTAGCCTGTAAATGTCATTAAATTCTTGTTCTAGTGGATGTTTGTAAGTTACGTACTTTCGTATGTCTGCCGTCTCCACACGGCTGTGTGCAGTATTCAGCTTCATTGACATATATCCAGGCACTAGCAGTCGTGAGCACATCACCTGCTGAGCTCATATACTCCGCTGTCTTCACGTCCCACACGGGCTGGCCTACTATCACATAATGCGCGAGAGACAGCTCCCCACCACCGATGATGGAGAAATGAGAGACACCAGCTGATATTGCAACTTTCACTGAAATTAAAGAAATATTAAAATTATCGTAATCAGCAGGAAATTAGTCGCATTACAAATATGTTAATATGGTCATATAAGATGTGTCATAAACGGGGATCCGAATGATATTATATCTTTCTATAGGCCTTCAGCTAATCTCAGTTATGTTCATTTTGGAACATCTCTTTTTAAATACATAAAGACTAAAGTAGTATTAAAATCTAACCCTTAAGTGCTACACCAACGTCAGTCACATATCTGCCGTAATTCTTTTGTATCAGAAGTCCGCAATCAATCGCATTATGAACAACATCTTGCATGTTTCCACTGGGTGTTTTCTTCCACATCGATAGAAAAGCGTCACCAGAGAACTTCAATATGTCGCCGTTGTGAGTCAGAATCTCTTGCACCATAGCACCGATGTAGGAATTAAGAACCTGCGTCAATCTCGACGGTCCACCACGACCTGTTCTTGTGTAAGCTTCGCATAAATCTGTAAAGCCTTAAAACAATCCCACGTTAGATTTTATTCGACTTTTTGCGACGTATAAATAATGTTTACTGTGAAAATGTTTTAGACTCATTACATTATTACCTTCATCATATTTTCGTACAATACCAGATTTGTTAAGAATACCTATAAACTTATTTGTTTCGTTGTAGAGTTTAATAAGTAATAGATGTAATTACCGGAAACATCAATAAACATGAGAGCTGTCTCATACGTCCTTACGGAGAGGTCAGAATGCTTGTACACAATCTCATCGGGCACGAAAGACGCCATGGTACTAATGCGTTTAGCTTGCTCCACGCCGTTTAAACTTTCCGTAGCTATATTTCTATATAAAAATAAATTGCAGAGTAAATCAAATTAAATTGCGAATATTACTCAACAGACTGCAAAATAAGTTAGAATCCAAAGACTTTAAAAATGAACATTCCTGCTCCATACTTCAACATAACGTTATTACATATTATGTACACACAGAGCAGAACAATGTGCTTCTCCCTTATGGACTGAGAAATCTGGGCGTCCTCTAGTGTTGTGCATATCAATGGACATCGAATCACTACGGGAACCGCTGCAAATTGCCCCCCTTCTCTTACGAAAAAACAGCAAGTGCCTTCTTACTGTTTATTTAGATAACGATCGTGGTATCAATGGCAACATGATCCCTACTACAAATTAATTAAAAATATAAGTATACGTTGATTGTTTCCTTCCATCGCTCTTACGTCGGCGCTCCCGTGGCGACATGTACACGGACGCTGAATTCCTGTATATAGATTCGCGTTGAACTCGCTTCATGGCCGTTAAATATTCATCATATCTGTCCTCCATTTAGTCTTCCTACTAGACGTCTTAAGAAGATACCTAGATATATAAAAACAGTTCCTTACCTTACGTAAAAAGGTAAAAGGATCAACTTTGTGGCACAATAATCATACCTTCTCGTTTCTCCAAATGGTAGTGATAGACAAATTAAACCTAAATATTCTGTGCTCAGCTTTTTCTCTTATTGTTCAATTACTAATTTTAATCAAATATATTTTCTTTGACACAAGCTTTATGACAGTATTAATTAATCAGATTTACTAACAAAGAATACCTTAAGTTTTTTTTTTATTTCACTAGGTATGCGTACTTTGTTGTTTACTAAAATAAGCTGAATCATCATATTGACCCAGTAACGAGGAAGTCAGATTAGTCATCTAGTAGTTACTGGCATTTCGTGAACTAACCTCTTCAATTTAGGCTATAACACTTTAACAAGCTTAATGCTTATTTCCACTTAGCGGCAACCGCCTTTTATCGTATTTCCACTGTCGCGACTTTAGTAATATTCATCTTTATTAGGTAACAAATAATACATTAACTAAAGCAAAATATTTTATTGAATATAAATAAATCTTCGCATGGTTTTATCTCCACCAATTTACATATTAGATCAATAATAACAAATTAAAAACATCACATCGTAACAATAACCTAACTAAATAATAGGTGCACAATAAGGTTCACAGTACATTCAGCCAAAAACCTGTAATCGAGTTTAATAAAACATAAGAGAAACTTCAAATACCACGGCGATATTCTACTGCAAAACGCATGTACAAAAACACAAGTTCGTCTATCTCATTTCCTACGAAAAAATACGAGATAACAATTTATTATGTACAGGATGTTCAAACAATAGAGTGAAACCCATGGCAATTAAGAAATATGGCAATAAACCTATACGCATCCTTTAATATCATCTCACTGGCCTTATTAGTTTCAAAGTATATACCTAAATTATTATTTCATTGTGATGCCAAAGTAATTATTTATGTCTGATTTTCTCAACCCATGCTACAAAAATTAAAAAAAAAAAGATCCACCAGAGAAGTATGGACATTAAATGAAGAATTCCTTGTATAATAATCTATAGATTATATTAGTTATGTTACATATTATGTTTCTTATAAAATCTGTAATTTTTTAAATGGTAAATTTTCCTAACCACCGATTAGGGTTTGGCAGTGATTTTTAACATTTATTTTACATAGTAATGCTACATATTTTAATTATCTATAAGGATACACTGGGTGTAAGTGAGCCACAGTTCATTTATGTTTATTTCAATACTATTATATTTATATAAGATGTAAGTAGCTGTTGACGAATGAAAGTACAGAAGTGCCAAATAAAAATCCATAATATCTAACTCAACATCTATGTCTTTGTGTTTTTGTATACATTTGAAATATGAAACTACATACAAATTTTATTACTCTCATACAAATTACTTTTTAATCCAAATTATTTCTTTTATAAAATTTTAATGTCACCTTTTGTGACATTCACTAAGTATTACATATATATTACATCACCTCAATATATACAATTCCATTATTCGTGTGATTACATAACAATTTCAAAATATATGGGATAGAATACTTTCAAATGAAATTTAGGAACTCGCTATAATTCTTTAGTATTATATACACATAATAATCAATAAATGTTTGAGAGGATTTTATATAAAAAGCGGTCAAACAGGCAGTGTTAATCTTAAGGATATGTGATATGTATGTTATTTAATTAAAATAATTTAAAACATTTTAGTAGGCACTACTGATTATACTTTTGTGCTTTATAATAACAATGAAAATATATAATTAATTTTGAACTGTCTAATTCAAATATTTTAGTGTCTACTCATAATAATATCTTATATCAGTATAAAATTAAACATGTTTTACTAATTGTCTTTTTTAAGCCCTTTTAAAATACATCTCAAGACACATTTTATTTAATATTAAATTATCATTTTATCAAATAATAATTATAAAGTATTTATTTTAATATACATTTTAAGCATTGTGTTTGCATGTTAATTACAAATACAAACTAACTTCATAATGTCAGACAATAATTGTCAATATTTAAAAATTAAATTCCCACATAGTCTTATTGTCACCACAAATTATAATTATCACATTTAACATCTATGAGAGGAGAAAGTCTTTCAAACACTTTGGCAATGGGAGTGCCTTGACTGATCCACTATTCACATACTGTAGTATTGCATCTCGGCAAACAATTTGGAGAGGTTTCACTGAAATAAAATGTAAATTCTTACATTAGGTATTTATTGAATGACTAGCTGTGCCCTGGTCTTTGGGTAGCATTTTAATTATTTAGGCTACTTATAATACATAACAAAAAAACATATTAAACTCTTAAAACATTCACCTAAACCTCACAAATGCTAAAGTAAACTTTCATCCCATATTTATTTATATCAAATTAACAGCCCAAATAAAAAGTTTCTAGCTACCTTTAAACATAACCATACTTCCATACTAATTTCTATCACCCTTTTCGACCCCTTACAGCCCCTTTTTTGAGTTAAAAAGTATCCTATGTTCTAGACTATCTGCATACCAAATTTCATTTAAAACAGTTTGATGGTTTTAGTGTGAAAAAAGAACAGACAGTTACTTTCTCATTAATAATATTAGTAAGGATATGTTCAACAATAACATAAGTCACACCTGTAACCTAGAGGGGTAGGCAGAGACCATGGACATCCACTTGACAGTCCTCACATGCCTCTCTTACTTCTTCTAAATTCATACATCTATGCATACATATATGTAATTTTTACTGTGCTTCTTGAATTATATGTTGAATGGTTTAAAGAGGTAATTAGATATAACTAACAACTTACCTCCATATAATTGAACAATTTTAACTTGCTTTGTTGTTCCATACACATCTACCACAGCATGCATTGGTCCACTTGTATATGGTATACCCTTAGTACAGGGCCCTTGGTCTTCACCATTAATTATAAAATGCATTTCAGCCACATCTGGGTCATCCTTACTATTTTTAGGGGTTGGGATAAACATAACACCAATTCTACTACCAGCATCCATAGGCAATATACCTTGTGGTGTACCATTCTGTGACATAATTTGTGGTCTGAGTAGCATTTTTGATACTAAACCTCGAGGCGTACTCACGTTGTGCCCCTCACCTAAGACTGAAATTCTCGGCTCACTTTCACGGCGGCCACTGGCCCCTTGGTTGACAAGCTCAATCAGTACATTGTTCTGAGATTTCGAAATGGGAAAGATCCATGACATACCAGTATTTGCTAAATCAGGTAAAGCGTACTGTGGAAGTCCTTTATCTCCTAGCGCAGCAGTTTGCGGATCAAGCAGTGTTAGTCCTAATCGCATATGGCCACTCCATCCCCTTTCTGTTTTCTCGATTTCCACCAAAAATATTTCACCAGGTAGTAAAGGCTTCTCACTAAATGTTAGTCCATGTGCAAAACTTGCCTTCCTATAAGCCACGGTGTTGTCTTCGAAAAGAACAATATTTGATCCATGATAATTATGAAACCTAGACAGCATGTTTTCTGTCAGTACAAAAACATTTATCACCTCAAAACTTTTCAATTAATATCTTAAGTAAGAATAAATTATTTATCTTTAATGCTTTTAGCAATGCATCTAGAACATATTCATGCACTTCATTATTTAGAAACTAACTATAAACATTGACACCGATGGTATATTTGCATTAAAAAAATGCACATTACGTTTTTTTTATTTTTTAATGTCAAACTTGACAGATACGTTTCTATATGAAGTTTAAAAATAAACTAATTGTTCTGTCAAAATATGTAAAATTTAAAGTTATTAAGATAATTAAATATACTAAGCAATTTTGTTTATCTTATCCTTGCTAGTGTTAGTTGATAAGTAAAAGGATGCTCATTTTCATCGTAATAAGAACATACCGCCGTAACGCCGGCCGGCAAGTTACAGCATCAAGAATGTAACATCATAAATACAACAACTAAAACCTATTATTTGTGTAAAACAATTTCTGTTCATAACGTTCAATTTGGTATATAAATATTTATGTTACAAATACACAAAAAATTAAATATCTTATTATTATAATTAATTAATTAAATTTTAATAAATTAAAGGTACTATTTTTGTTTCAGTAACTGGTTGACTGGTTGATGAGTTGATGAGTCTAACTTTTTTATCTGTTAAAAATGGCTGTCATCTGCACAAAAGTTGTCAAGCGGCATTTTTGCCTAGCTTTGCAAAAAAGTACAAAAAGTTCTGTAATTTGTCGACGTGAAAGAATCTGCAGTACAATATTGACGAAACCATTATTTTCTAATCCCTATAAACATAATATAACCACCTTCTTCAATTCTGCAATAAATAAACATTTCGCAATACCCGAGTAAGTGCATTACCGTGACATCTATGATAATATCTTATCATTGTGCAAAACTTTTATAGTACAAATATATTCTTATCTAAGTACTTGTACCTGGTAGAATCATTGTTTACATAAAAGTGTTTTCACATATTTTGTCCTTAATTCTTTAAACATAAAGTATAAAACACCATCTCATATATGTTTTAGTCTGTTTTGCTTAGCATTGCCCTGACGTTAATCGTATTAACATAAGGAAATCTTAAATTAAAAATTAATCGAGAATAACCAGTAAAATATTAAAGTTCGTAAGTTACTTCCTCTGCTTATAGTTTACATGGCTTATCCTTTTTTTTCATATAATTGCCTATTGAATTTTTGTTACGAAACTATCAATTTTGATTTTTATCTTGACATGATTGTTCATTGTTGAATTGTATTTCACTGGTGAAGCACATGAACTTTGGTGATAATGAGTTACTATTGGACTTATTTCTTAACTTTTTTTTGTTATAGTCAAGTGAAAGCCATGGGTGCCTTAAGTCCACTAGATCCTTCTTCTTATTCAAGGCCAGGTATTTTTTATTTTTTTTTATATTTTTTTAGTATTTGAACAGACCTGCATTTCCAT